CTCCCGAATACGAGTGTACAGAGTTACTGCTGCTTCGTATTCGGGATGTCTCAGGGTGAAATCTAGGCCCAAATATCGGTCATCCTGATTGGAGATTTCGTGGTCTTCCTCAGCCCCGCCCAGGCAAACACCTTCCATTATGTGACGTACGTTTCCTTCCACATCCCATCCAGTTCATTCTATTCACGGCAACATTCGACGCGACATCGTCTGAGCTGCTCCAGTGTCGTTAAATAAATCATAAATAAATAAAGGCTCGATTATGCAACTTGCCTGATGACAGCAGGAATGGGCCGTGGGGTCCGAGAATGTGAGAGCGAATTGAACCTTGAACCTTCTAACTATAGGGCCGCTTGCTTGTCCATTATTGAAAATTTATGTACGTATTTGCACGATTTATATGCCTGATACTTTCACCGCACAAAGAAGGGGCAACACAGCTCCACTTGTCACTGCGTCCAGTGTCCTGTTTCTCAAGTCACTCTATTTAACCTACAAGTTCGATTCATTAAAACACTTCCTTCAACAAGGCCACTTCCAGCTTAAGTTTCCCACAGATGGCAAACACACGGTTGGGAATTGCGAAATGAAAGTTTCTAATAATACGAGGGAGCGTCAGTAAATAGGTCACAAATTGATATAAAACTTAAAACATGTGATATTCGAACCTGGGGGAAAACAAAAATTATTTCTCGACATATCCTCCATCAACATTGATGCATTTGTCCCATCGCTTTACCAGCGCATCGAAATCCGTAGCATAATCTTTTGACTGTTGTCTCAGCCACTTCCGCACCTCTGTTTCATCATCTACGGCTTTCGAACGTCCTTGAGAGAATTTCTAGCCCCAGTTGTGGAACACTTTACGCAACAGACACTTCCAACCGTAAACAGGAAATATTTCTTTTTTTTAATATCCTTTGCATTGAGTCCTTTCCCTCATAAAAATCGCACAACAGAACGCTGCACTGCAGTATTACATACCTCAAGCACGGTCACCATTTTGACTACTGAAACCAGCCTCTGAACATGCACGTCTGCTACCTAGACTGTCATGAAGCTGGACTGTGGTGCTACTTAGTGATACACACAGAAAACCTATTACGGCCATTACAGCTGTTTTACTTCCATCTGTGACCTCTTTACTGACCATCCCCCGTACTACCTTCACACAATTCCTTGTTCGGATTAAGTACCTCGCAAAGAAAACTTCAAAAAATGCGTCTATTAGCCTAACTTGCAGTGTCTGTGCCTGTATCCGGACGGAGTCTCATAAAATTTGATTCTAGAGAGTTTCTACTAACATATATCGACATATTGTTCAAATTGGACAGAAATGGCGGACGCTTTACATAAAGCCCGCACTCCTTTCTGCGCATGTCTCGAACGTCAAGTCGCTGAATGCTTATGGGAACGAAAACTGTTTCGCACAAAATCTGCAGAGTAGAATGAAACGAATATCTCACGCCAGTTACATTTTTCCTTAAGCCTTAGTGTCGAGGGAGAAGGCACATGATAACCGTACTGGGTTGAGGCACTACGCTACAATATGGAAGGCCGCGGGTTCCATTCCCGATGAGCTCACTAGATTTTTCAATTGACCTAATCCTTCCAGCCGCACTATGGCCCTGGGGTCGAGTCAGACTCTAACAGAAATGAGTACCAGTAACCTTCCTGGGGGTAAAAGGCGGCCGACGCGTAAGGCTCACAACCTCACCGCCATCTCTGAGCCGACTGTCAAAAAATGTGGGAGCCTCGACGTCTCACAGCCCTATGGGCCTCCGCGCTCTACAGCAGCCGCATTTGTAGCAGAACACTGGCGACCAGCGCATCCCCTCTCAAGACAGATTGCGTGCCATGTACGGGCTGGAAGCCTCGTGTCCTGAACCCTGCTTCTGGTAACGGAATGTGAAATCAGGTGCAGTCACTTGCCGTGTTGCGGGAACTGACAACTCTATTGGAGCCAATTGGAGGATGCTGTTTCACTGTGTGCAAAAACGGAATATGTCGGTAAATTCGGAAGATACTTGGTCGCAGAGTTTGTCTTCTGCAAGAGCCTCAGAAACCAATGAGAAAGAAGACGGCCAAAGAGAGGAAGATGCGGGGATGTTGAAGAAGAGTGGGCGTAGGTGTTAAAAAAAAAAGGGACACTAAAATGCAGAAGAGTGTCCTGCAGCCGACCTGTCCATGAATGTTTGTGCCCTTGACTCTTTAACGCGAAGGTTGTGGTGCCACAGGCGTAGGGGACAAACAGGCGACTTGGGCCACAGGTTCCGTCACTGACTCACATTGCTGATCACCGATTTTTATTGAGTAAGTTTATCCCCATGCAACACAACCGAGGATGGACGTTATTATTCGTAAAGCTGTTTGCCAGAAACTGACCCTTGAATTACGTCTGGGTGGGTCATTCGCGGATGTATCACCGACGGCTGTGTAGATAATTTTGATGTTTCTACTCAGTCTCTCCCGGTAAGGGTACAGATAGCACTGCACCCCAATATCATTTCGCGAATTTCCGTCAGGGTAACTTGAGATCGGATACAGTCGCTTGCGTGCTTAGTTACCCTCATATTCTACCTTACTTCGGTCCATTTTAATATTATCCTCAAATGTTCCATGTGGTCTCTTTCCTTCAGTTCTTTAGACCAAAATTTTGTAAGCGTTTCATGGATGTTGCAACCCCTTTCCAAATCATTCTCCACGAGACGATCACCAACCTCCACGCATCCCATAAGAGGTATAGGCGTGGTGTGCAATCAGAGAACACAGACAAGAGGATGAGATGAGAGAGAGCAATCCCAACGAGTTTCGTAACAAAACGCTTCACTTGATGCAGCGCTGCAAAATAACCACCAAGAGAACCTCCAGTCTCCCAGATCCGCCTGTATCAGACAGTGAAAGGTTCAGAGAAGCGGCCCGAAGTGACCGGTCATGCTGACCTCTCGGCCAGGGGAACTGAGGTCACACGGCACACGAACACTTTCACTCGAGCGCTGTTCATAGCACAAGAGTGGCTTTAGTGCCAACACGGGCCCTTTACTGAGCACTTCATTTCGGCTATCTCTGGCCTATGTCAACAAGCCCCAAAGCGTATGTCGCTAGCAAAGGTTAGCGTACCAATATTCGTGAGAACAGAGCGGCCAAGGTACAGTTTAGTTTCTTGGGGTGGGGTGAGACTGAGTCCACCTCGTACGTCGGCCATTAATTAGCCTACTGTACCAGCCTCTAGATCATTATTCTATAGCAGTCGGTGGAATGAGAATTGGCAGGGGAAACCGAAGTACTCGGAGAAAACCTGCCCCAGTGCCTCTTTCTCCACCACAAATCCCACATTACCTGGGCTCGAACCATGAGAAGCCGGCGGGTATCCACGTGATTTATGGCACGGCCTGAAACTCGTAGTTATTTTGGAGACTAAAAGCAAATCTGGACGCAGTTACAGCACTTGTCTGAATACCTTCCCCCCGCAAGACATACCAGACCCCTTCAATAAAGTAAGACACCAGATCATAACAGCGAAAGTAAAGCCGTCCCTGTGCTTACATGAAAACGTATGGGGGGTGAAGGTGTAGCTCCAAGCACTCTTAACCTCAACACAAATGTGGTAAGTGAATAGCGTCACGCACCGGCCGCTTTATCGCCGGAAATGGTCCCACGGTACCTATTGGATAGAAAGTTGGGTGGGCTACAGAAATGTCACTTGCTCCTGCCGAGAATCCAACCACGATCCTTCGGTCGTCCAGTCGCTTTGTCCAGTTTCGATACTGACTGAGCTATCCCAATACTGGGAAGTATGCTGGAATGGGAAGCATAACAGCTCGAGGGAGATGTGGCGGAGATCCATCCCTGTGACGTCTTTATTTGGCCTCTGCATAACTTCGCAGCAGTCAATGAAAATCCTACAGTCGCTCAGCTGGTCAAGACACTCCCTGGCGTCCGTGGAACACAAACGGTTCATTACCATGCTGGATAGAGCCCTGTCCCGACCAAGTTCAGTCCAGCCGAGTCCACAACATCACAATGTATTTCTTTAACATTCATTTTAATATTATCCTCTCATATATCCCTGCCTCTCGCATTCCTTCACGTTAACAGACTATTTGGTAGGCAGTTCATATCCCCCCCCCCACGCGTGATGAAGATCGGAAGATTTGATACACTGGTTTCTGGTGGTGACCCTGAAGATGTGACACCATGTAGTCTGGTAGATATTCAAACCCTGAAAACTGAAGCTGCATGATATATAAATATATGCATAAATATATGAGAATACACGGTGTCACATCCCAGTACACATTAATATTCTAATGCTGATATCGTTTAAAATGTTGGTATTTATAAAAACAGTAATACAAATCTTTCTGTTGCATGATTGTTTAAACCACAACATACACTGGTGACATGCACAGGGCTACCAAAACTGACATAAACTTCACCTCTAAAACTGTAAAAATATTGTAAGAGGAAAAAAGGTATTGTAACAACACGAAAAACTCCGCAAGGTTCTCTACGCAATCTGATTTTATGACTTCACGTAAGCATCGTAATAAGAATGTTAAATGTCAGAGAAAGTGTCATAACGTTTTCCACGGCAGTTTCTGCACAAATGTCCAGAGGCTGTAATGTAATGAGATAAAGTCATTGCAGTCGGTAGTAACTTAAGCCACTCATACATTAATTCCCAATAACATTCAACTTTTGTTACGTGACACTATTCACTATATCGCCAAACTGTACCGTCCTTTAGCCCTCTGAAGCTTGAAATTAATTGCATAATATTTAAGAATTCGGCTCGTACCTCACAGGGAACACAGTACGTCTCCGCTACAAAGCCCAACCGGTTACTGTTGTTTAGGGAAACAGTCGCTGTTTATTGAGAACCATATGGAACATATAAATACACCGTGGGGATAAAAAAGTGGGTGGTATTTATAGTTACCACTCTGCTTTAAAGAGTGTCCTCATTTTGGCTATGTAACGTACGTGAACTGTTGCAGACGGTGACTACTGTAAACAGAGCATCGAGACGGCCGGGCTGGAGGTTTATGGCGGATATTACAACAGTGCGACAGTTCTCGGCACCTCCACGGCAGCGCTGGCAGCAACGCTTGCTGTCATACTGCGCCATCTCGTCCTCTGACAATCACATTATCAATAGCGAGTAGGAACTTCAAATCTTCACAGAAGAGAAAAAAATAGAACTTTCTTTAGAATAGATTTACAAGTATATAGAGAACTGAACCGCGCGTAAAACAGTATGTGTTATGCTGTACTTGGCAACAACGAATTATTTAATTATTTTCATTCATTACCATTTATGACTCATCATTATTATATGATACTTGAGCAAGCATGTGACGCAGTGTGGTCTGGTAGAGAGACAACAGAATTTGAGAGGAACTTTCTACNCTCTCAAATACATTTTCATGACGCCGTGTTTAATTAATTAAGCACACGGACTTTATTATTATTATTATCATTATCATCATCATCATCATAAAGCGGTAGCATAGTTGGTTGAGGCACTATGCTACAAGCCGGAAAGTCGCGGGTTCGAGTCCCGAATAGGTGGACTTTTTTCAACTGACCTAATCTTTCCAGCCGCAATATGGCCCTGAGGTCCACTCCGAGTCTCCCAAACGTGAGTACCAGAAATCTTTCTGGGGGGTAAGGGGCTGCTGGCGCGTACTAACAACCTCACCGCCATCAGAGTCGAATGTCTAGAAAATGTGGGAGCCTCGACGTTTCATAACCTTATGGGCCTCCTCGGCCTGTTACAGGCCAGATATACATTTTTACATTATTATAAATCTCAGTCTGTACCGAGATGAAGTATGGTGCAACTATACCTAAACTCCCACATACGTCAACAAGACGTGGTGCTTAATAAATTAAGCACATGGATTTTATTATTATTGTTATTGTTACTATTATTATTATATTACAGGGTGTTCTGTCTCTAAGGCTCATGACGTAACAGCCGCATGGAAAATACATTTCAGATTCCCTGAAATTCCGAAGAACATCTTCAGAACACTACGATCCGTGGTATCACAATCACATTTGCACTGCGCATGCGCTGTACTTCAATCAGCAGATTGTTGTATTTCAATATTTTTCAACATCAACTGTTACTGAAGGCACATACAGTAAAGCCGTGTAGATTGGAGGGGGCCCGAAGTTTCGGAGAAAAATATCGCCTCCATCTTCAGAATCTAAGAGTAAACCAAACGACAAACACTAGAAGCAGGCGGCAAGCTCGCTTTTTGTACGGCTTACGATTCTACCTTGAAGATGGAGACGACATGTTACCCCGAATCGTTGGGCTTTCTCCGAACTACTCGGCGTTAAAACCCACGAGGCTGTACTCTTCATAGTCACCGCTGTGGGAACCTCAGATTCATGATTATTATTATTGTTATTAGGCAGTCACTCGCTCATGGAGCTGAGCCCTTCTTGAGAAGCTGCCAGTTGTGCAACTACTCAAGAACTTCCCATCATTTTATGGAACCCGAAGGTTCATTGCCGTGTTCACGAGAGCCCTGCACTGGCCCGTATCCTCAGCCAGATCAATCTAATCCATACCATACAATTCTATCTCTCTAACGTCCATTTTATTATTGTCCACCCACCTACGCCTTGGTCTTCCCAGTCGTCTCTTTCCGTCTGGCTTTCTCACCAATATCCTAAATGTATTCCTCTTCTCCATACATGCCCCATCCATCTCATCCTCCTTGACTTGATCATTCTAATTATACTTGGAGAAGAGTACAAGTTATAACGCTCCTCATTTTGCAGATTTCTCCAACCTCCTGTCACTTCATCTCTCTTCGGTCCAAATATTCTCCTCAACACCCTGTTCTCAAACACCTTCAGTCTGTGTTCCTCCCTCAATGTCAGAGACCAAGTTTCACACCCATACAGAACCACAGGTAAAATTATACTTTTGTATATTCTAATTTTTACGNATTATATGACTACTGTCTTTACGTTGTCTTTAAACTTAATGTGAATACCAGTATCTACACTGTGCTGTGTCTGTAAATGGCCTTGCAGTTGTTGTCTCGGTACATAAAAAATAAAGAATTGAATTATTATTATTATTATTATTATTATTATTGTTATTATTATTATTACTACATATACTTCAGGTGCTAGGCAACGACCGCGAAATAAGCAAATATACAACAGAGGGACTCGGACCCGAAAATGACTGCGCTGGCGAGGGTCAGCACCAATTGTAAACGACAAACCAGTCTTCTCGTCAGAGAGGACGCGTCACATCAACAAACCCGCAACTGTCTGACAGCAACAAAGATCTGATCTTGGGCCCCAGATAGGAGCTTGACGCCAAGACAGACTGACGGGTTGACCGTCGGTCGTAACATAATTTTGGTTCTGACTTTGACCTGTTCCAGTGAGTCAGTTGGTTGGTGAATGAGTGAGTGTGTTAGAGAACTGCTGAGGTTCAGTTGTTGTGAGCTGTTGCTGTGAGAAGCTGGTTGCTGAGGTACGGAGACTGTTCGGGAACCCACAGCAAAGGAACGTCCAACGTTGGAAGCCGCTACCGAGCAACGGCTAGTGAACATGTGAATGTGGACACTAGTGTGTGTAATAGTGATTTGTAAAGTGCAGCCATGCACTGTATCAAAGAGTACAATAAATCCGATTACCAATTCAAACCCAGTCTATGTGCGGTCACTAAAATCATGCGATACTATTATCATCATAATCAGCAGCAGCAGTAGTAGTAGTGGTAGTAGGATTATGACTATATTTTCTACAAGAAATTCCTTAGTGGAGAGCCACACTAGCGGAGTTCCATGTTGTTTTTGTCTCCGTTTAAATAAAACGCCAATCAGCCTAACCTAACCACGGATAGACACACGGCAGACTTTCTACAATGTTTCGGGTCTCGGGTCGTCAGGCGGGTGAAGATTCATTGCTCAAGCACAAGGACAAGATAAAGCTTATCTCCAAGCAGGGAGTAGGCCTGTGCTCGCCAACGACAGCAAGCCTCTCGTCCAGACAAGTCCTGCACTGGACTGGTCACTGTTGCAGCGAGAAGAGGTTGAGCTTAGAACATATATCCATAAATGTCGTTTCTTACTAAAGATTACAACATATGAAGCTGCCAATTACGTAATTTTCTCCAATTATCGCCGTCCAAACGCATGCAGTGTGACCAGTCACGCACACAGAAATGCAACGACGAATTAGGTAAAATTCTACCTTATATTATGGGGTTCCCAGGTTCAAATCTCCACTGGAGATTCTAGGAGGCTTCCTTAGTCTCTCCAGGAAAATGTAGATAGAAATGCCTTAAATCAGGCCACGACCGCTTCCTTCAACAACCTTTCCAATTCATTACTCTTTAATTATCGCATAATCGAAAGTTATAAGGTTATAGGCCTGATGCAAGCTATTGAAAACGTCGTTAAATAAATCAATGCGAGAGACAGTGGGAGGGTCTCAAGCGATTTCCATCGCTGCATCTCCATCAAGCCTATAGAGCTGAGCTGTGATCATACTTGAGAGTTATTGACATGCCGAAGCGGCCTCCGTAGTCTAGGGGTAACGTTCCCACCTCGTGACTCAAGGTACGCGGGTTCAAACCCGGCGGAGGTCGTGGAATTTTAAGGGCGGAAAAATTCGGGGAACAAGTCCTCCGGGAGGGACTTTAAGCCGTGGGTCCCGTGTCGTAGCTTTACGGCAAGTAAAAGAACCTCATGTCTCCAAAGGAGGCCACTGAGCAAAATTACGGACGTTTCCCGCCCAACAGTAGTCTCTAACACCTCTGGTAGATGGGGGAAGCATTAAAGATACCACTCAGCTAGTAGAGGCCGATCTCGCTGGCTGGGCGGGACTGATGGTAAGCACCAGTACCGGTAGGATATAGAGACTGGTAGAATATCACAGAGGGAAGCACAATGGACCAAGACAGGTCTAAGTGCATGGGGAAACCCACCCTCTCCAATAATTAACTAACTAACTAACTACTGACATGCCGTACCATTGACTTTGACACCAGGCGAAGGTCTGTGGTCAGCTTCACGCCCCTGCCGCATACCGCAGTATGCATGAGTCCAAGAGTTCGACGCACTGGTAAAGTGATGGGACAAGCGCATCAGTGTTGTGGAAGGATACGTCGAGAAATAAATGTTTTTTTTTCTAGTTCGAATATGACATATTTTTTACGTTTTGCATCAATTTGAGACCGATTTACTGACTCTTCATTGCACGTTCCTCCGAAACGTCGGTAACAATGTGTAGACAACACATTGGATTAAGGGAGAAACATGAGTATTCTCGAGAAAATAAGTTATATTAAGCTCTGAGGTCACTTCCTGGGTTGCCACATTCATCACTTTTAAATTTACTTACGTTGCGGTATTGAGTCATAGCGTCACTGCGGCGACCGCAACTGCTGATGACATTAGAATGTCAAAGATGGCTGTTTTCTGCTTCGTAGATCCGGTGGGTGAGGAGAAAAATTGCCACAAAATAAGTGTCGCCATGTGTTGCTCCGAGACATAGCAGACAGCCATAAGGCAACGTACTGTTACGTCACAGTCTAACATACAGCGCTACTCGTGTCAGTATTCGCTACTACCTGCAAACGGGGCGTTCTGTTTCCGGTACAGCGTTGCGCCTTTCTGAGGCAAAATCAAACAAAACCATTTAAAGCATACTTTCCTATCGCACAGACTTCTGGTTTTACAAATCTGTGAACAGCATATTGTAGTGTGTAGAGCCGTTTCTAGGCAACGGCTCGGTAGATACGTTCCCGCTGCAGAGGATACGCATGCAAACAAAAATACTGTTGCAATCGGTGGTTTCTAATCGGTCCGTGCAAACGGATAATAAGGAGGATAACTGAAGCTACAATCGCTGAAGTCGTGGAGGGGACGAAAAGGGAACCCAGTGCCTGGGGGTATAACAGGACCGCCCTGTTCCTGGGAGATATAAATAAGGGAACATAGATTATTTATTACTCAATACCGTCACAAAACATCAATAATAATTGTAAGCAGCTATAGAATATACCTTCGCTACATGTTTCGGCCTTCAATAAGGCCATCATCAGGCAAATACTTTAAACATTTTGTTATGGAATTTCATGTTAAATATAAGTCCTAGTGCTAACCTTCCAAGTATATACAATGGAATAAAACGATATGAGTGAATACAAATATAAATTACAATACAAGTTAAAATCTTAAATGATCACTTACTGAATACCGTCACAAAACAACATCAATAACAATAAATAATATGTGATACACAACAGGATGCATTCATTGAAAATTATAGACCTCCAGGTTGGGGGAATCTCGAATCTGAGAGAGTAAAATGTGGTCACGAGTCCCGCGGGAATCGGACCTGAGAATGACTGCGCTGGCGAGGGCCAGCAGCAACTGTAAACTACAGACTCTTTTTCTATTCAGAGACAATGTTACATAAGGACTATGGAAGAAAGTATTCAGTTGAAAAAAAAATGCTGGTCGTGAGTCTCAAGGGGCTTGCCGCCAAGATGAACTGATAGGCGGTAAACCGCCAGTCGTAAAGTAACTCTTAACTCTGAGTAGTTCAGTTGTAAGGGAGCCGCCGTTCAGACAGCACTTGGAACAATCCTACAAGGCTAGTATCATAACTGTGGTCGCGGTGCAAGGGCCAAGGCCACCCCTTATACATTCATTCATCATAACCCACGAGTCGACATTTCTACACTGGAATCAGGCACTTATCTCTTCAAACTATAATGTCTCATAGCCCAGATGACCTTGAACGTAAGAGATGGTTTCTCCGAAACGTCTGTTCCCATCTAACAACCTACATGGCGTCTGGTCACAGAGGACCGTAATCTTGAAAACGAAATTACATCTACAAACAAATGAATAGCGTCTTTACCCCCTCACCCAATAATAATAAGTGCTGTCAGCTACCCTGGTAACGCGACAAGTAATTAATGGGTTCCGGATTAGATGATCCGATTTACTGGGTATTCACCAGGCGCAAGTTCAATTAGTTTTACGGAATCTTGCAGTAACTATAACACCTCTCAACCACGATCAATAATAACATTCTGAAGGGTGCTGTAACTATACCACATAAAATAAAGACTTCGCTTCTCATTTCTTCTGTCTTTGTCGTGTTTTGTCTCCTGGTATCTGATGTCCATTAACCTCCAGTAAGCCTGCTGAGGTAGCTCTTGGCGTACGGAATAGGGGACACGGAATCGAACAGTTGATTTCTCTGTTGTGAAAACGTCCTTTCTATTGTGTTGGTGTAGCCATTGTAACAGAAACATGTGAATCGATGTCTTCAGTAGTTCCTCTGTTGTGATTTTTGAGAACTTCGCTACTACGTAACCGAAGTTACACATTACGTCTGCGCTACAAACCCCAACCGGTTAATGCTGTTTAGGGAAACAGTCGCTGTTTATTGTGAGAACCATATGGAACACATAAATACACTGTGTGGGCAGAATGCAGAGTTCAGTTCGTGCCTCACAGGAAACACATTACTTCTCCGCTACAAAGCCCAACCGGTTAATGCTGTTTAGGGAAACAGTCTCTGTTTACTGTGAGAACCATACGGAACACATAAATACACTGTGTGAGCAGAATGCAGAGTTCAGTCCGTAATTCACAGGAAACACATTACGTCTCCCCTACAAAGCCCAACCGATTAATGCTGTTTAGGGAAATAATCGCTGTTTATTGTGAGAACCATACGGAACACATAAATACACTGTGTGGGCAGAAGGCATAGTTTTAGCATGTTAAAGCAAACAGAATATTCGTGCCCTGCTTCAAGCAATTACGCCACTTTGTACTTATAGAGATTCAGGACGCTATTTCGTATGGGTGTGAAACCTTGTCTCTCACATCAAGGTAGAGACATAAATTGAAGGTGTTTGAAAAAGGTGTTGAGGGGAATTTTTCGACCTAAGTGTGAGGAAGTGGTTACTATGATCAAACCAGCGTTAAGTATGGAAAATATGTAGCAAGCGTGAAGAAAAAAATACAAAATCTGTGTCGAAAAAAACAGAAGCAAGGCAACGCTTGGGAGACACAGGACTAGATGGTAGGAAAATATTAAAAAGAGGCTTAAGGAAATAGGATGGGAGAATGTGTACTGCACTCGTGTTGTTCAGGACAGTGGGCTCCTATGAACACAAATACGAGCCGTCAGAGAAGAATTGCTTTCCTAACTGTGTAACTATCAGCTTCCCAAGAATGACTGTGCCCTATGGCGTCAGGTGATATTTCAGCGTGGATCTGTTCCATGAGAAGGAGCAGGACGGATTGTTGCTGTCCGGCCGGAAACGCATCCTTCATTAAATTCTAAGCTAGGGACAAATTACTGAATGAGTCGGTGGAACGGCAGAGAGGGGAACCAGAGCTCGGGGGGGGGGGAGGAAACAGAACTGACTGTGGATGAGGCCTGAAGGTCTGTGTGACATCTTTAGACGTCGGGCGAGGACGGTTTCGCTTTTTGTTATAAAGTTCCACTTATTTTCCCTACTCCTGTACAAAGTGACATTTTGAATAACTTTTAAACCCAAGTGACCTGATTTTTCTGCCAACAACTACTACTTGTTGTGTGAAGATTATGTTGCAATGTCGGACTTTCGTCACTGAAAAAAGGGCACATCTCGACGGTGGAATAAGCTAAGTTGCCGTGAATACAGGTAGGCTGAATTTCTATTATTCCTCGTTAACATCTGTGACTTCACAGATAATACTCACTGTCACTGAAACCACTGTTAAGTCCTGCTTAACACTGTAAACCCTGTCAGACATGTATTTGAACCTTAAATTACTGACCCTTATAGCTACTGCATTCCCATTAGTAAGCTACCAGAAGTTACATTGTTCTGCCTTTTCAAGTATTGGAAGCTATTGCACAAACGCACTGCAATTTTCAGATGTTTTATAACAAATCTTTCCATCTACTTCTGGGTTTTACAAAGTCTCTCTGACATTTGGGGTTATAGAAATATAGTAATTTTGGCAGTCCTTTCAAGCCCAGTGGTTATTAAATGTACCAAGTGCTTTAACATACTAAAACTCTGCATTCATCGAGGTACGGACTGAACTCTGCATTCTGCCCACACAGTGTATTTGTGTGTTCCGTATGGGTCTCACAATAAACAGCGACTGTTTCTCTAAACAGCATTATCCGGTTGGGCTTTATAGCGGAGATGTAATGTGTTTCCTGTGAGGTACGCCTGAATCTACATTACTTAAATGAATTTCGGGCTTTGAGAGGTTACTGTTGACTTGATTAACATTTTTCTTCGTTATAATGAAGTCAGGAGTTGGCATATCTCTGTCAGTATAGCAATGGGCTACAGGTTGGACGGCCGAGGTTCGATTCTCAGCAGGGGAAGGTTAAGAATGGTGGAGCTATACCTCCATACCGCCATGTCTCTCCATGGCATGGTTCTTAATTAATTCGTCCCAGGATAACTTAATCACAAAATTTTCCTGGACGGATTGAAGACAAACATGAGAAGCCTTAGAAGATCAGTGCCCAATATTCGAACTGGAAATTTCCCAAATTGAGGTCAGAAGCATTATCGCTTGATCTGACCTGCTCGGTAGGTTTTCCGTGGTTTTCCTCAGTCCCTAAAGGCAAGCTCCGGGATATCACATAAAAACAGGCTACGGCCATTTCCACCCATATCCTTTCCAATTCATGTCGTGTGACCTACTGACAGCGTCGTTAAACAAACAATCCTGAAGATGCCAAAGACGGAATGCCATCCGTTTACTTGAGTATGGAAATGATGCAGTGGGATGCTTACATGACGTAACGGTGGGGAGGACACACTGGATAGTAGCAAAAAAACGAATCTGCCTGGTAAAACAGAACTCCATATGGCACGAAACATGTGACAAGACTTGTTGCTAAGGTCACATGTTGGGTAGCTTGGGTAGCAAGTCCCTTAGTGTATGGAAACCGGCCCCTAAAAGTCCCTAAGAGCCTCTAACACATGGCCGTAATGGCGCTGGACGTGACTCAGTACGCGCATGCGCAGGTTCGCGGAAGGGTACTAATTCTACCGGCAGATGGATCTGCCTTCATTTTCATAAAAATCCTTGTTTATAAGAGTTTCTTGAAGCCCGCTTTTAACATTATTATTCGAAATTGTAGGAATTTATCGAAGTATGGTGCTTGTCCCGCTAATAAACACTGTACTTCTGCTCGGGGCGCCTGTGCTGCCAACCCGGTGGGTAAAGATCTCAATATATTTGCAAAATTGGACCGTTTTTCTCGCAATCACATTCTATAATCTTCTACCTAAAATTGTTAATAATTTCTTGTGACTGTCTCTACAGCCCCCTTGGGCCCTGGCCTCTGATTTTTCAGTTTCATATCATTTTACAGATGGCAGGACTCCTTGGACGAGTGATCAGCTCATTGAAAGGCCTCTACCCAAACACAGGACAACACAAACACTGAATAAACGCATACACACACCAAACATCCATGCCTTGAGTGGGAACCGAACCCACGACCCCGGCTTCCGAGCGAGCGGAGACAGTACATGCTTTAGACCGCCAGGCTACCGTGACCGGCATTTGTTAATAATATTTGTTTAATATTCTTGTGTTATGTAGTTCTTAATTCTTGCGTTCTTTGTGTATTTTTCAGTTCTGTTTTTGTCTGTTCGCTTTTTTCTGTATTAATGTGTTTCCTTTCTCCAGTGTGTGCCTGCAATTTGTCTCTTGTCTTTATGTTAAGTTTGTCCTGTACCTGTGCTGTGTCTGCAACTGGCCTTGTGTACCTGTTGACTCAACACGTAAATAATAAAGAACTGAACTGAATTATTATTGTTAGTTTTGGACCTCACGACAGATCACAGTGGCCGCGGGGTCTAAGGCATGAACCGTCTTCGCCCGCTCGAACACTGGGATCGTGAGTTCGAATCCCACTCGAGGCATGGATGTCTGCGTACGTTTATTCTGTTTTATTCTGTGCGTAGGTAACGGCCTTGCGACGGGCTGATTCCTGTCCAAGAGGTCCTACCGACTGTGTATTGATTAAAAAACTGAAAAAGCGGCCAAGGCCCACATGGGCTGTAAGGCAGAGTGGTATCAGTGGTAACTGCCTTAAAAAGTCCACATGACCTGCATTAATGATGATTTTATTCTTAGCTTCCAACAGTTTCCTCAGCCCACTTAAAAAATTAAAGTTTTCAATGCAGTTATAGTCCATATTGTAACCTTTTATCGTATTGTGACACCGTGAAGTCTTGGAAATAAATTCCAGCATTTCGGACGCCATGTAGTTTGGTAAACCGCTACCAACGTCTTGAGAAGGAAGATGGTACCTCCAGCCTGAGTGTAACAGAGTAAGCTGGGGGTAACTCTATACCGCTCTTTCACACACTGGCCTTACTCCTGCATCCTGAACACGGAGGCGACAAGTTCGTCCGAAACATTATTAACAGCAACAAACTAAACGCCATCACATCCCAGAAGTTTGCAATAAGCATAATTCTCGCTGTGAAAGCCTCAAACCTCATATTCCCTGAATTTTTTCTTGTAACTTCGTTAAAAATCCCTGTATTCAAGACAAAAATGTGCCACATAAATGGCTAAGAGACGCTGTGCTCCCGCTGTTTAGGAAGCAGTTACGAATATGATAGAAGATGGCAGCTGCTGACCATATGCTTAGGCATTATAGTAGTGTCCATCTACCTCCATCTACCCCCAAAATCCTCTAGATAGCAGCGCTACTTGGTGCCTATTATCTTTATGTCGAGTTCACTCTACATCGTACCTAACAGCTTTCTTTGCAGAACTTTTCGATTTACTTAAGTTAGGCATTTATTACTGGTTCCAGTTGAAATTTCAACGGGCTCTATGCTAGTTTTCTTTTTTTTTTAATTCGCTTGGGGGGGGGGTGGAGTCCAGCTAGGTCCACTCGGCACGGCGGCCATTGATTGGCCTATTGTAGCCTGCCCCGGGTGATTATGATGGAGAATTTGGTGGAATGAAGATTGGCAGGGGAAACCGAAACACTCGGAGAAAACCCGCCCCAGCGCCACTTTGTCCACCACAAATCCCACTTGACCAGACCGCGGGATCCAACCCGGGCCGCCGGGGTGGGAAGCCAGCGACTAACCGATTGAGCTATGGCGCGGCCAAAAATCTGGTAGCACCGGGAATCGAACCCGGACCTCTGGATCTGTAGGTAGGAACTCTGACCACTAGACCACAGAGGCGGTCATTTCTATGCTAGTTAATTATAACATCTATGAAGCTGGTGATCGAGTCGAGATAGCTCAGTCGGTATAGCAAAGGTCTATAGGCTGGGTTCGATTCCTGGCACTGTAAAGTTTTTCTCTTCTCAACAGCGTCCAGACCGGTTCTGGGCCCACCCAACGTCCTCTCCAATGGATACCGGGGGCTCTTCCCTCGGGGGTAAAGCAGCCGAGGCGTAAAGCTGATCACTCACATCCATCTAGTGCCGAGGTCAAGAATGATGGAGCTATACCTCCACCCCCCCCCCGTTCGATTTGTGGGGTGGGGAACTGTCGTGGAGGAGCGACCAGGAACCTTGCCCTCGATATTCAGGTCGAATTCGAAGAATTCTCGCCCACAAACGATTGAGGACTCCAAGATAATAATCAGAATTCACTGTTTCACCTTCTGCCAGAAATTCCTTGTGAATGATTCCTTTGGAATCGAAGAAAACGGTTAGCAGTGTCTTTACTCGACTCTTTTGCATGCGCACTTTCTTTGGTTTCGGCTTCTTTGGGCTCAACCACGCTGCACTGTGCCGCTTTGTGAGAGGCTCATATTGAGAACGCCATGTCTCGTCACCAGTAACAATAGATTTTGTAAATTTTGTATCACTTTGGGCCGACCGTAACATGTCTTTGCAGTGTTCCACTCTGGCATGTTTTTCATTGCCTGACAGCGCGTGCGGTACAAACCGCGCACAGACCTCCCGTTTGCCCTAATCCTCGGTCAAAATTTGATGCACAGTACTTTTTGGTATTCTCAAAAGCTCCTCGATGAGTCTTGCGAAACACATCTGTCTGATGAAAGGATTTCGGTCACTTTTTCCACATTTTCTTCAGTGCGACTTGTTCTCGGCTTTGATGCACGTGGAGCGTCTTCAATGTCCTCCCTGCCGTCACGAAATATGGCATACCATCGAAAAATGTTCGAGCGACTCAAACAACCACAACCGTACACACTTTTCATCATTTCGTACGCTTCTCCGGCTGTCTTGGCTAATTTCAAACAAAATTCGATGTTGGCTCTCTGTTCAACCGCCATTTTCCGACGAGCGTCAGAACAGTACTGTTACATTCAAGGTCAGAACACATGATGCAGCGATGCTTGCGCTTTGAAATTATACACAGCCACAGCTGAAACTTCAAGAATCTTAACGCCACAACTCGCCAACAGATGGCACTGCAAGGGGGGGGGGAGAGAGAGAGAGAAGAGAGAGTCCTAACGGATCCTGGACACTCCGTGTATTTCTGACTTACTCGTATTCATAGTGTCAACAGAATCCCGAGCGGGTTAACGTGGCAGTCGCGCTCGAGGCTCATATTCGGGAGGTATTTAGTTCAAATCTCGGCCCTGAGACCTGTTATCCTGTGTATGATTTTCCATGGTTTTCTTCAGTCCCCCAGCCAAATGCCTCCATTATACATCCATTGGGCTATGACAGTTTTCATCCGAATCATTTCCGATTTATCATCCATCTATCAACCTTCCAATTTACACCGTGTAGTCCAGCTCTGACAGCAAAAACCCCTAAAATTATTAAACAAAAATAATTTAAATGAACTGTTACTTAAAGGACCTTAATGAGGGTAAATATTTCTGTGTTGCACTGCTGCAAGTGACAGGCCCAAAATGAACGGCCTGCAGGTTAGTATAAACCACGCCCAGCACCCCTACAATACCTTCTTTCAGCGGCATCTACTACCAGGTCACCCAAATATACTACCACATGACCCAACCTGCAAACCAAAATTTCACAGCGGACTGGGGTGTCCCGCCTAGTCACGAAGTGTGTCATCAAGTAAACCCACACATTACAATACACTGTACCATTTGCTATGAAGTACATCAAATTATATACACAAGAGAACTCTGTTTCGCAAATTCGAGTCTGCCTGAAATAATGATACGATATATCGAACCTTACAACATCCTGCTACACAGAATGAATCTTACGTCAGCATTAATATGCAAAAAATACGTATTTTAAACATACTGAGGCCTCTTCATACATAGCAGGTAATCCCCCCTTCTCCACAGCGCCCAGACTGCTTCTGGTCTCACCCAGCCTCTTATCCAGTGGGTACCCTAAATTCTCTCGCTAGGAGTGAAACAGCCGGGACGTAAAGCTTACCATTTACCTCCATCTAGTATCGAGGTTAAAAATGGTGGAGCTATACCTCCTTTTCCCCACATGTGTCTTCATCGCGTGGTGCTTAATCCGTCACAGGAGTAACTTTAAAATGTCTTGCATCATTCTTTGTGCCACTAACAGTTTGCTGGAACAAAATTTTAGCAAAGTAAATAATGTGGCATGTAGACCCGTCGCTAAGCAGTGACTCTGTAAACAGAGGCCGTTTCTGGGCAACAGCGCGGTAAACACGATCCAGTTTCTATCCAGCAGATTCTTAATAATACAACAGTTGGACTAGTACAATGAAAACGGGGTGGTCTATGCCGAGATGTTATAAGCAAGGCTGTGAAGAGAGGATCTGAGAGCGAGAAGCTGAAGAATCCCCGCTGTTAGAAGCCGTTGCCAGGGAATGGCTAGTGAAGACAACAGGCTGGGGAAGTCCTAGCGGGTGCTGTGGTCATTTGTGAAGTGCGTAGATTAACGGTGGGGCTGTACCTGCTTGTATTTACGAGTTGTGTGTTAAGGTGGTCAATAAATACAATTACTAACCCAAACCCCGTCTACAGTCACACACACGCACGTGACAATAATTTGATTTGGGATTACTAAGTTTCAGGACGTCGTACATTGTTTGGTATTCCGAAAGAACACAACGTTTTGGACAATGGGGTCTGTTTCCGCCCTCAGATGAAATATGCTACATAATACAGTATATTAAACGGGTACTTAAGTTTTACATATATTTATCGCCGTCAAGAATTACCATATTCGGGAAGCTGCCAATGTCCGATCAACTCATTTCGCAAATATAGCGGCAGGCGCGCACTCGCAACTAACTCGAGGTTTTCACGGCACTGGATGTCGGCGCTGTGGCCTTATGGGCTATGATGCCGTGTATAGACGCCAGCGCAGCGACGTTAACCTGAAAATGTAGGCGGAATTTTTCTCCGATACATTTGCACCTAACATACTACACGCTGTACTAACCCAGAAGACTACAATGAAATCCTCAAACCCCACAGGGCGTGTAAACTGCATATAATTTGAGATTTGAAATTCTCACAGCGATGTCCATGAAGATTACGGCGTTGTGCGATGTGACGCCGTATAATCAGGTAAAAAATATATTTTTTTTAATTCGCTTAGTGGAGGGTGGAGTCCAACTGGGTCCACTCGGCACGGCGGCCACTGATTGGCCTATTGTAGCCTGCCCCGAGTGATTATGATGATGGATAATTTGGTGGAATGAAGATTGGCAGGAGAAACTGAAGTGCTCGGAGAAAACCCGTCCCAGCGTCACTTTGTCCACCACAAATCCTATTTGACCAGACACGGGATCGAACCCGGGCCGCCGCGGTGGGAGGCCAGCGACTAACCGCTTGTGAGCTATGGCGCTGCCGTATAATCTGGTAGGTTCTAACCATCGTTTCGGAGGAACCTGCTGCTTTCATCTTCAAGAAATAGTACTGACTCTTCTGCCCTGAAAACAGTGGCAGAAGGTGTAATACAATAAATCATTCCCAATTTTTCGGTATAACTTGATGACTCAATCGTAATTGTAGAACACACAACCCTTATACCCTGAAGATGGAGGCAGCAGATTCCTCCAAAACGGTGGTAAAACTATCAGCATACACGGTGTCACGTGTTACAAGACAATAATTTTCAGCGTGTTTATTGTATTATGACGAAGCAAAATGTGTTCACTTCGATATTGCAGGGTCACAGAGGGCAGAGCAGTTGTTAGGATGACGGATGCATAACGAGGCCGCTGCTATGACACCCCTGGCCCTTGCAACACTGCTGCTCGCAGTAGGGACGGTGCTGAGTGTTGCAGAGTTAACAGGAGAAAACGTATGTCACAAGCGAGAGACGTAAGTTCCTCATATTCGGCACAACTAACTTCGTGGAACTGAGGCCACCTTAAGAAGCTGCCAGTTGTGTACCTATTCTAGAACTTCCCAACATTTTATGTAACCCGATGGTTCATTAACGTTTTCACAAGAGGTCTCCACTGGTCCATATTCTGGGCCAGATCATCCAGTTCATACCACTCACATCCTATCTCTCGAAGATAAATTTTAATATTATCCATCCATCTACGACTTGTGTCTCCCAAATGGTCTCTTTCCTTATGGTTTTCCCACCAATATCCTATACGCATTCCTCTTTACCCCATTCGTTCTATACGCCCTGCCCATCTCATCCTCCTTGACTTGATCATTCTAATTATACTTGGAGAAGAGTACAAGTTATGAAGGTCCTCATTATGCAGTTTCCTCAAACCTCCTGTCACTTCATCTCTATTCGGTCCAAATATTCTCCTCAGCACCCTGTTCTCAAACACCCTCAGTATATGTTCCTCCCTTAATGTCAGAGACAAAGTTTCACACCCATACAGAACCACAGGCAAAATTATAGTTTTGTATATTCTAATCTTTATGTTTTACGCCATTTTCGGCATAATGAAACGTATTCATGTTATTCTGTTCGGTGGAGGAGGAGGAGGGTTGTCTTACGACGCTGGACCATATAGCGTCGCGTGCAAGCATGATGCCAGCTGAATGATGAGTCGAAAAGAATGTAGAAGGAAGGGGCTGTGGGTACTGTCCAGGCATTTGTCTGGAGGGACTGCAGAAAACCATGATAAACCTCAGTCAAGATAGCCGGTGTTCCGCCGAGATCCGAACCAAGCACCTCTCTAAAGCGAATCTACAGCGTTATCGCTATGCGAACCTGCTCGGAGGCGGCGACTATAAACGTTACTGCCTTCTGGAAAAGGACGCCGTGCAGTCTGGTAGATATTTACCGAAGCTTCGGAGGAGCCTCCGCATCCATTGACCTTGAGAATGGGGCAGCAGGTTCTTCCGAAATGTCGTAATATATCAGATCCCATCCCATATGGGATCTGATACATGCCAAGCCACAATAATATCTTCATATTATTGTGGCTTGGGACTATACCCCTCATGCTTGTGTGGGTCCCGTTTATTTTAAGATCCATTTTAATATTAGCTATACAAAACTATAATTTTTCCTGTGGTTCTGTATGGGTGTGAAACTTGGTATCTGACATTAAGGGAGGAACACAGACTGAGGGTGTTTGAGAACAGGAGAATATTTGGACCGAGGAGAGATGAAGTGACGGCAGGCTGGAGAAAACTGCATAATGAGGAGCTTCATAACTTGTACTCTTGTACAAGTATAATTAGAATGATCAAGTCAAGGAGAATGAGGTGGGCAGCGCATGTAGTACGAATGGGGGAGAAGAGGAATGCATGTAGGATATTGGTGGGAAAGCCAGAATACACTACTAGGAAGACAAACATGTAACTGGGTGGATAATGTTAAAATGGATCTTAGAGATGAGATGGTATGGATTGGATTGATGTGGCTAAGGATAGGGACCAGTGGGGGGCTCTTGTGAACACGGCAATGAAAACCTTCGGGTTCCATAAAATGCTATGAAGTTCTTGAATAGTTACACAACTGTCAGCTTCTCAAAAACGGTTCAGATCCATGGAGTCAATTTGCTTCTTAATATGATTAACATTTCTTCTGCGACCGGATGTTCCAAGCTGCACGGCTTCCTGACATGTGTGTGTTCTCTCCAGGTATACTGTCACTTTGCGGGTAACGGTGAAGGAGCCTGTGCACGTCAAGACCTACACGTGGTGCCTAAAGGTACCACCTCGCTGCACCAAGTACAAGGTCGAGATGAGAGACAGAATCAAGATTCAGGTCAGTGGCACACAACACCCTCAGTTCCAGACCCCCTGACTTCTCGACCCTTCTCCTGAAACCTCGGGCACTGGTGGTTCCTCAAACTGTGGCGTTTTGGAAACTGTTTCTGTTTCCTTCTTCGGGTGGCAGGATAAGCATGGAAACTTATTGTCTGGCACCTTTGCTGAGCTAATTTCAAAACCTTGCCACAGAGTAGCAAACTCCTGCCACAGATAGGCTCAAACTTCTGGAACAGCTACGTTAAAAACTTGGCCATAGATGGTCTCAAACTCCTGCCAAAGCTAGACAAATTTTGGCACAACCAGGTTCAAATCTTACGAGAGCTAGTCTCAAACTTTCGCCGGAGCTGGCGGCAAAATCTTGCCATAGTTAGTTTCAAACTTTCGCCGGAGGTGGCGGCAAAATCTTGCCAGAGTTAGTTTCAAACTTTCGCCGGAGGTGGCGGCAAAATCTTGCCAGAGTTAGTTTCAAACTTTCGCCGGAGGTGGCGGCAAAATCTTGCCAGAGTTAGTTTCAAACTTTCGCCGGAGGTGGCGGCAAAATCTTGCCAGAGTTAGTCTCAAACTTTCACCGGAGCTAGTCTCAAAATCTCGCCAGAGTTAGTCTCAAAATTTCGAATGTGCTAGTCTCAAAATTTCGAAAGAGCTAGTCTCAAAATCTTGCCAGAGTTAGGCTCAAACTTTCACCGGAGCTAGTCTCAAAATCTTGCCAGAGCTAGTCTTAAACTTTCGCCGGAACTAGTCTCAAACCCTGAGAACTGTCCGAGTGGCTCAAACGCGAAGAGTGGGAGTGACCTATGAAGCACATATAGATATAAGCTTAAGTGCCCAAGTAATATCTACTGGTAACAAAAATAAAAATGTCGCTTACATTAGCGTCTTGATATTCAGTTGCTGCTAATCTTAAACCTTGTGGAGGTAACTGCCAGGCCTGAAAAGGAAAGAAGTGAAAAGTAAAGTTGTCCCTGTGCTTAATAAGTACCGCACCATTCTAAACCTCATAAGCAGATTACGGGGAGCAGTTAGCATCACGCTCCGGCCAATGTTGGTTACGTCTGTGTCCGATGTCTTTCAGACGGAGGTCCGGGAGCGAGTGGTGGATGTCTGCTGTGCAGGATATGCATTGGACTGGACGGAGACGCAATGCCTCCCCGTGTGTAAGGGATGTCTGCACGGCGTCTGCGCCACCCCAGACACTTGCTCCTGCGAGCCTGGCTATACGGGCGACCGCTGTGACATCGGTAAGGGATCAGTGAGATATATAGCATACTCGTACATGGGGACGTGAAAAATGCTTGCATGGTATTATTCTGAATATGTGAAGGGAAGAAATGCTTGGGAGATCAAGCAGTAGGTGAGGGAATAATATTAAAATGGAACTTCAGAAGAAATATGATGTGAAGGTGCGGACTATATTCATCTCGCTCAGGATAGGGATCAACAAAGGGCTCTTGTCCAAAGAAAAATTACTTTCATGACCCCACAGAGGGCGGAAGGGGGAGGTATGTTTCGACTCTTTACAGATCATGAAATTCTCAATATAAACTCTGCACTGCTCTGACGGTGACCCTGTAGAATTCCTTCCAGTGCGCGAATTACTTTACGTATTTATGTTATGACACTAAAAATTAGAATTTTAATTTCGCATGTGGTTCTGTATGCATGTGAAACATGTTCTCTGACATTATGTGACGAACCTAGACTGACGTTGTTTGAGAGCAGGGTGTTGAGAATATTTGGACCGAGGAGGTGAAAGCCGATGAAGCAAACGAACACAGCTTCAGCCCTTAGGATGTGTGCAAGCCGAATATAGTCTGGTCCCACCCCCTTTTCCTCCAGGCCTTCTTCTTAAGCTTGTGGACCTTTACCACTGGATAGCACCACGTTTCATTCACCGTGAAGATGGCGATTAAAACGTATTTCGAAACGCTGAAAAGCCTTGCACATACGAGGCGGATCAACCCCGAAAATCGAGTCAAAATGTAGGGGCAGACTGCGAACACTTGAAGACAAGAAGTCTGGACGTGTCAACAGAATTCAGATTTACACATTTCCATACACATTACAATAATAAACCCTCGCTAATTCGGTTAGTTAATCAGGATGTCGGATAATCCGGATGAAAAAACGAAAAATTCTGTTCACAGAAGAGTAACATACTTTAAAAGATACATGAAAGTTAGGAAGGTAGATAAGTCAACTGAGGTGTACGTGGTAGCGTAGTTGGTTGAGGCACTATGCTACGAGTAGGCATGTCGAGGGTTCGATTCCTGATGAGATCATTGGATTTTTCAATTTACCTAATCCTTCCAGCCACGCTATGGCCCTGGGATCGACTCAGCCTCCAACACTAATGAGTACCAGAAATCTACCTGGGGAGTAAAGAACGGCCGGCGCGTAAGGCTGACAATCTCACCGCCATCTGTGAGCCGATTGTCTAGAAAATATGGCAGCCTCGACGTCTCACAACCGTATGGGCCTCCACAGCCTGTTACAGGGATAGTTTTACTTAACCTCACCGCCAGCTGTGAGCCGACTGTCTAGAAAATGTGGGAGCCTCGACGTCTCACAACCGTATGGGCCTCCACAGCCTGTTACAGGGATAGTTTTACTTAACCTCACCGCCAGCTGTGAGCCGACTGTCTAGAAAATGTGGGAGCCTCGACGTCTCACAAACCTCTGGGCCTCCACGGCCAGTTATTTGGATAGCTTTACTTAACCTCGCCGCCATCTGTGAGCCGACTGTCTAGAAAATGTGGGAGCCTCGACGTCTCACAACCCTATGGGCCACCACAGCCTGTTACAGGGATAGTTTTTCTTAACCTCACCGCCATCTGTGAGCCGACTGTCTAGAAAATGTGGGAGCCTCGACGTCTCACAACCGTATGGGCCACCACGGCCTGTTACAAGGATAGCTTTATTTAACCTCACCGCAATCTGTTAGCCGACTGTCTAGAAAATATGGGAGCCTCGACGTCTCACTACTCTATGGGCCACCACGGCCTGTTACAAGGATAGCTTTACTTAACCTCACCGCCATCTGTGAGCCGACTGTCTAGAAAATGTGGGAGCCTCGACGTCTCACAACCCTATGGGCCACCACAGCCTGTTACAGGGATAGCTTTACTTAACCTCACCGCCATCTGTTAGCCGACTGTCTAGAAAATGTGGGAGCCTCGACGTCTCACAAACCTCTGGGCGTCCACGGCCAGTGATAGGGATAGCTTTACCATTTATGTTTTGTGAATTAACGACAACCAAGTTATGGATGTGCCACTCTAAAGTAAGAAAGTCGGACTCTGTTGCATGCCACATCAGAGTGCCCCGAAGGTCTGTGGGGCCCAGCCTGTGGACTACAGTGCCAGTGCCGGAACGCAGCCACCTGCAACCACATCAGCGGAGACTGCAAGTGCACCGACGGTTGGAGGGGCTCCCTGTAAGTCACTCACACGTCATATGGAATCACTACTTGGTACATGGGCACACGAAACATAGATACAGTATGACTGACAACCGCCAGTAAAAAGAACCTGTATTCTGCTTACATCCTGTATCTTTGTTTCGTGTGTTTCTCACAATGCACAGCGATTCTTACGTGAAACACCATCAACCGTTTGGTCTTTGTAATACATACGCAGTGTTTTTGTGTTATAAAACCTATACAGAGTGTCCCAGGAGGAAAGGTCAGTATTCTAAGTCATAGTATCGGTCATTCTCACCAAAGAAGAAAAATTGTATATGTGTGAGGAGCATTCGGTATATAATGCCTATTTTTTTAATTAAAACTACTACAGATACAGAAAGCGTCGATGGATGTCAATGGGTGTAATTTGTTCGGCAGTGAGAAATTCAATAACACATTTCTCTTTCATACTCACTTCTATGTCAGACACCATTTTGGTAGACCGCTCTGCTGTCGCTATCTGTCGCACGACAACCAAACTAACAGTACATTGGCGGGAAGGTTCAACCTTTACTACAACACCACCAACATCCAGGTCAGTCGTTACATATTAACACAAAAAAATAGGAGGCATTATATACGGAACGCCCTTCGTGCATGTGTCCCATTCCGAACGATTTCCGAGATACAGCTGTTTCATTGTACAGTTCCAAAATTGTTGATAAGAAAGAGATATTGCGTGCTGTTTCTAATACCGGTATTCATTGTTCAAGGGACAAAGCTGGTACAGTTTACCTAACACAATACATTTTCGAAAAATCCACCATCAACATCAATGCACTTTGCAACTCGTGTGAGGACACGGCGTGTTACTCGTCTGTACAGTGCACAGTACAGTACTGTCAAGAATTATTTCATCACCACGTCATCCGGACCGGCTCTGGGGCCCGCCCAGTTTCCTATCCAATGGGTACCGGGGCTCCTTCCCGGGGGCATGAAAATTACCACTCATCTCCAATTAGTGCCGAGGTTAAGAAAAATGTGGCTCTATACATATTTTACCCTTACTGTTGTATCACTGGGGGCACGCAGTAGCGTAGTTGGTTCAGACAAGCGGGAAGGTCGCGGGTTCGATTTCTGATATCATTGGATTTTTCAATTGGCCTAATCCTTCCACCCGCAAATATGGCCCTGGTGTCGACTCAGCCTCTAACAGAAGTGAGTATCAGGAATCTTCCTGGGGGAAAGGGCGGCCGGCGCGTAATGCTGACCTCACTGCCATCTGTGAGCCACTTGTCTAGAAAATGTGGGAACCTCGACGTTTCACAACCCTATGGGCCTTCACGGCCTGTTACAGCGATAGCTTTACATTTTTTATCTTTACTATGGTACAATACCATTATTATATTATGAAACCAATAAAGGGATATTAAGCAACGTTATGAAACATTTAAACCATTAAAAAATAAGCGAGTGTCTTAACAGGGATCGTCAGCAGTTATGGTTGCGACACCCTCAGCACTTATACACAAAATAAAAATAAAAACAGAAACACGCTTTTTAAAATGGCCCATCTCCCATGTCTCGTCGAAAGACAGGAGATCTCTGGTTACCTGTGGTCACTGGGCGCTTTCTGAAAGAACTGTCAAAGGTCCGAGATTCGATCTCTAAGCCCGAAAATTCGGCGCACAGATCAATTTGGAGTTAATTTAATGAAATCTTAAGCCGATAATTCGTGGGAGATCGAAGCAGGACGGCGTTTACAAGCAAGATAACTTTATAAAATAAGGACAAAAGGCGTTATCTACCGATAAAAACATCAATAACTGATCCGTTTTGACCCTTAATATTGATATGTGATTCCGTTACAGATGTGACGTTACCTGTCCCAAGGGAACCTACGGCCACGCATGTCTGAAAGAGTGCAACTGTGAAACTGGCGACAGTGACGAGAGCGCCATCTGTGATCACGTGACGGGGGACTGCAGATTAGGCGAAGCCAGGAGAGAGGATCACGAGTCGAACCGTCACATAACCGCACCTCCAGAGATTCACACAACCGCCAGGCCTGCGGTGACACAGACAGCCGATGCTAAGGAAAATGAAGCTAAGGACAGTGCCTATACTGCAAAAATTTTCCAGCAAACAGGTCATAGCGCTCCTCAAACACTTGAAAACACAGACAAACGCATTCATTTCACTGATGAGAGAGCCCTTACAAGCACAATTACTTCCATGCCTTCCTTCCTTGCAGATATGGGAGCAAAAACAGAAATTCCTGAAGAAGTTCATAACAGTTCGTTAGGAAGCATCACGTCACTGCCCGATCATCAAAGTGACGATGTGGATGTCTCTGAACAAGTCGAGGAGCCTGAAACAATAAAACTCGAGGATACTGACCGGCCGATTGAAGAGCCTGGAACTACAGTGACGGAGAACGCGAACCAGAATGTTCGTCCCGCGCGTAGACCAATCATTGTCGTCTCCGACGGGTTGCTGTCGGGAAGAATGGAAGAAGACGGGAACGAGGGAACCGGAAGTGGTGTTTGGAACCTGGTGTCGAGCGCAAGCGTGGCCGGAGGGGTGGCACTCACGCTCATCATTATGGCCACGGTGACTACGGTGTTAGTGTCGCATCGCAGAAACAAAGCCAAAATGGCGGTAGCTGAAAATGAGATGGCGTCTGTCCGGAAGCAGCAACAGGCCACGTCTGGACCACGCGCGTATAATTATACGCAGGACGTCACGACGCTTCCACGTGAGTTACTCTATCCAAGCGTCAAACTTTCTGTTCTCTGCGGAGTTTCCTTCGCTTCTGCGTCTGATTTTACGCCAGCGTCAGCAGCCGGAATGTAAATATACTGTCGAATGACAGAATGACAGACGAACTGGAAAGGATCCGGAAGGAAGTGGTAGTAGCTTAACTGAGGCATTATCCCAGCATTTGCCTGCATGTACTGAAGAAAACCACGACAAACGTCAGTCAGAACAGCTGACGATTTGGCCGATAATCGAACCGAGCAACTCCCAACAAAAGTCTTAGAGTGTTACCCCTATAGCAACGTGCTCAGTTTCGCCCCTTCTCATTAGCCTACTTTCCTTGTTCTGAAAAAGCAGTCTTATGCGATTAGCTCGCTGTCTGTCTGTGTATCCTTATCGATTTTCGAATGCCTGAACCAATTTTTATGAAACCTGGTATGTACGAGTGTATCATGACACCTGAGCCCATCTCCCCAGCGCACTTCATAAATCCACCCCATTATTCTGTGTTTCTGCATTTGTATCCCCCCTACCGTTGCCAGGCAGCGGCTCGGTAAACACGTTCCCGCTGCAACGAATACACAAAGTAATAGAACTGTTTGACGCGTCGTTTTCTATGCCATCCGCACAGAAAACATCTCTTCCATTATTGCGTGTTCTCTCGTTTCAGGGGGAAAGTGTCCACATAGCTGTTCCCCAGCAACTGCTCTTGCACAGTCGCCTGTTACTTGGCAATGGGTCTAAATGTCACAGTATCTTCCTCTCCATAAAAAAAAACAAATATCATGCAAATATATAAACAAAAAGGGACATTTGTCCGCGTCCTGGCTGTATGCTCAATGTGTTACAGTGCGCCATGTATTTCCGGACACGGACATAAGAGCAGACGATATGCCTCGTACTGATGGACTCCAGCTGTCCTTCGGCGATGTGTCCAGTACCATGACAACCCACAACAGTTTCGGACATCCCTGTAACTCCTACAACAATGCAAGGGGTGAGTACATAATTCAGACTCCCAATCTCTTCTTACTAACACAAGTTTATACACCATTATGTCCATATGAGGCATGAAGGTAAAGTTGTCCCTGTACTTAATTAAGCACCACGCAATTAAGACGTGTGGAAGAGCAGAGGTATAGTTCCACACACACACTTATGGGGGTGAGTGGTCAGCTTCACGCCCCTGCGTCTTTTCTCCCGGGAAAAGGGTCCCACTGCCAATTGGAAAGAATGGTGGATGAGCCTCTGAGCTGGTCTAGTCCCCAATGAGAACAGAGCCCGGATTTCTCGGTCGTTCTCCCCGTAGCAAACTCACCATACTGACAGTGATATCTTGGGTCATGGGACTACCACACATGGATGCCCAAGGAACGTGATTTCGAATCTCAGCTGTGGAGACATTTCTTCACAACGTCCAGACCGGCTCTGGAGCTCACACAGGCTTCGGGGGTAAAGCCGACATCTCACGTCTACAGAGCCAAGATTAGACGCACAGAGCTACACCTCCAGTCCCCCATACGTCTTCATGGTGTGGTGATGAAATAGGTTACACAGTAAGTCGGTCTATGGATAACGCCCTAGACTTGTATTCTGGGAGTGACGGGTTCAAATCTCGGTCGTGACACAGTCTATTCTGACTGAAATTTTATATATAGTTCTTCTGTCTTCCGAGGAAAATGTCAGGATAGAGCGTGCATCATGCCACGAAAGCTTCCTTTCAGTCATTCTATGTATTGGGAGCGTCATACGCACCTGAGAAAACTAATTACGATCAAGGGCAACTTAAACTTGTAGTTCTGCATTACAATCTAACAGTGGGCCAGCCTGTCTTTTTATCGTCACCCAAAGGAATCAATTTAAACACAAATGTATTAACTCAGAACAAACAGCCCTATATGTCACAGCATGTTTCGACCTCTTTTGGTCCTCATCAGGAGCCTTATTTTACAGTTATATATTTCATAGTTACCTCCTTCACAATGGGGCATGCGGTAGCGTAGTTGGTTGAGGCACTACGCTACAAGTAGGAAGATCGCGGGTTCGAGTCCAGATGAGGTGGATTTTTTTCAATTTACCTAATTCTAATGGCCCTGGGGTCGACTCAGCCTCTAACAGAAATGAGTACCAGGAATCATCCTGGCGGTAAAGGGCGGCCGGCGCGTAAGGCTGACAACCTCACCGCCATCTGTGAGTCGATTGTCTAGGAAATGTGGTAGCCTCGACGTGTCACAACCCTATGGACCTCCACGGCCTGATGCAGGGATAGCTTTACTTAACCTCATCGCCATCCGTGAGCCGACTCTCTAGAAAATGTGGGAGCCTCGACGTCTCACAACCCTATGGGCCTCCACTGCCTGTTACAGGGATAGCTGTACCTTTTTTTTTTACCTTCTGCCTCTTTCACTGTTAATTTTATTGGCTTTAAAACACCATGATCCACAAACCAGTGTACCCATGAAGAATACCATCTACTCCTAGGTTCTCCAAGAGGTCTTTGCCACTCAGGTATTTCGACTAAACACTATGTAAATTTCTCATACTACCTGCTACATGACCTGCCCATTTCATTACAGCGTATTTAGAGCTGCAGTACGATATCCCCCCATCCTGCACGAGTAGCAACAGCAACAGTCTGCGGCCGGGGATGGAACCCGAGCACCTCTACGATGAAATCCCCTGGTGGCGGAGTACCCGCAACACGGACACATCTCGCTGCTGAATCCGTGTGTCAGTGCCTAGAGCAGGGGTCGACAAATGTGACTCTGGAGCCAAATGTGACTATTTCGAACTTCCCACGGGCCACGGTGCATCGGAAGAAGATTCAAGTGTTGCAGTGAAGACACCAGTTATCGATGCTGTTAGGCCATAAGCCAGAAACATGCCGGAAGACAAATAAATAATATAATTACTAGGGTCTAGTTACGTCTGACACGATTTTCCGAACTCTGATTCGTGTTCTTGTGAACTAAACCCAACCTGCCGTGACTGCATCACTAAGTGCTTGCACTAGACACCCAAAAGGCCTTCCATCTACGCAAACATCTCGATTTTCTTGCCCTGGCCCAGAGTCCACTTCCCAGAAGCAGCAGTAAAATCTGTAGTTAAGAATAATGAGAAAACTTTCATTGTAACGGCTCGATTCAATTCCTCCACTTGTACGGAAACTATCGATAAAATCAAAGGATCTTATGCGTGCCTCGAGAAAAGCTTTCTTTGGCTTCAACTCAGAACTTACTCTGTACTTTAAAACACAATTCCTTACTGCTTATATACCACCCATTTCATATGTTAGAATTACTCCACATTTTAACCAAACAGTGTATGCACGTCGTATGACCCTCAGAATAAATTGAAATTAATTTCATAAAGAGCATAACAGTCTTTGCTTTGTGGCAGGAACTGAATACTTAAATGTTGCTTAAATAAATTTCAGAATTGAGTTATAAGGTCTTAGACAGGGGCCATGGAATTTTGATTTTCTGAATTAGTATTGAAATATAATTTGTAAAATAATTGGGGGCTTATTTTCTTTTTATAAATTTGAAGTAGAAGGGTTACATGAGAAACATGTTACACATAAAGTCAGTTTTTTGCACTTACAGACGGGCGCGGACCTCAATGTTCCTTATCACGTCTATAACAAAACCTGCTTATGCGAGGACTGTATAAGCCAGCAAATGAGACGCAGTACAGCCATCCCTGCAAAGCTAGCAGTCGCTCAGCTGATTATTCCCGCTTACATTTCTCAAAATTACCGTTCCCAAGTCCGAGGCCTTGTGTTACACCTCCGTACCTGCAGCGGTGGAGGCCTAATTAAGGTGCTATCCCAGCGTTCTCCCAGAGGGTAAGAAAAAAAAAAGAAAGTCCCTCTGCTTACCGAATTAACCACTATGCCATGAAGACATATGAGGGAGGGGATGTGTAGATCCACGTATTCTTGACCTAGGCACTAGTTGGAAGTGAGTGGTCAGCTTCTCGCCCCAGCCACTTTCTCCCGTAGAAAAATTCCACGCTACCCACTGCCTAGGAGGCTGGGTGGACCCCAGAACCGGTCTGGATGACGTGAAGAAAAGAAAAATCTCGCACCTACCGGGACTTGAACTCCAACCACTAGGCCATTCAGCCCTTAGTCGGAATACCGACTGAGCTATCCCGGCTCCTCTGGTGGGAAGGCGGGTGACTACAGCGGTAACTCCAGATGACTCTGTTCAGTGTGGCCGGCGCGTAAGACTGACAACCTCACTGCCATCTGTGAGCCGAGTGTCTAGAGAGAATGTGGGAACCTCGACGTCTCACAACCCTATGGGCCTCCACGGCCTGTTACAGGGATAGCTTTACTTAACCTCATCACCATCTGTGAGCTGATTGTCTAGAAAATGTTGGAGCCTCGACGTCTCACAACCCTACGGGTCTCCAAGGCCTGTTACAGGAATAGATTTATTTAACCTCACCGCCATCTGTTAGCTGATTGTCTCGAAAATGTTGGGGCCTCGCCATCTCACAACCCTATGGGCCCCCACGGCCTGTTACAGGGATACCTCGGCGTCTCACAATCCTATGGGCCTCCATAGCCTGTTACAGGGACAGCTTTACTTAAACTAACCGCCATCTGTTAGCTGATTGTCTAGAAAATGTTGGGGCCTCGCCATCTCACAGCCCTATGGGCCCCCACGGCCTGTTACAGGGATACCTCGACGTCTCATAATCCTATGGGCCTCCACAGCCTGTTAAAGGGACAGCTTTACTTAAACTAACCGCCATCTGTGAGCCGACTGTCTAGAAAATGTGGGAGCCTCGACGTCTCAAACCCTATAGGCGTCCAAGTCCTGTTACACGGATAGCTTGACTTAACCTCACCGCCACCTGTGAGCCGATTGTCTAGAAAATGTGGGAGCCTCGACGTCTCAAACCCTATAGGCGTCCAAGTCCTGTTACACGGATAGCTTGACTTAACCTCACCGCCACCTGTGAGCCGATTGTCTAGAAAATGTGGGAGCCTCGACGTCTCAAACCCTATAGGCGTCCAAGTCCTGTTACACGGATAGCTTGACTTAACCTCACCGCCACCTGTGAGCCGATTGTCTAGAAAATGTGGGAGCCTCGACGTCTCAAACCCTATAGGCGTCCAAGTCCTGTTACACGGATAGCTTGACTTAACCTCACCGCCACCTGTGAGCCGATTGTCTAGAAAATGTGGGAGCCTCGATGTTTCACAACCCTATGGGCCTCCACGGCCTGTTGCAAGGTCAGATTTACCTTTCAACCTAAAGATCTGAGCGCCGTTGCCGTGCTTCCTAGTGCTATGTGGGCCGGGGTACCTCCAGTCCCGTACACGCAACGGAACACAGGATATCATACTCCGTAACATTTCGCCACTTCCTATGCCCGCGCAGCGCAGTATGTCGCCAACCAAGCAACCACCCACGAATTCATCCGCCTCTCAGCAAGAGACTGCAGAAATGTGATAGGCTGATTTCCACGTCCGCCGCAGCGTCCGATAAAACTACCAGCGTGCAGTGACAGTAGCAACCGGAAGAAGCAAGTGAGTACAACAGTGGCATATGAAGTGCAGCATTACTGAGTGAATAAAGGCGACGTATGACGTGTACTTTTCTACCGACGGACTCGGGGGAACATAGCCATTCTTGAGAAACTAGCAGTCGTTCAGCTACTCAAAACATTTCCCTCCATTTATGGAAACCCAAAGTCCATTACCGTGCTACCAAAACCCATTCATTGGTTCCAGCTTTGACCTAAATATTCGATTTATTTTATTTCATCTGATACACTTGCATTTTATTTAAATACTCTGTCCATAGCGTCGAATGATGATGTTATTCGTGAATAAGGAACTGGGAAGGATTGGGGAAGTGGTAGTGGCCAAATTTGGGGCAGAAATCCAATATCAGATACGACCTCGTGTTGCAACAGGTTTACAGTAGTCTAATTCAGTACCAAACTCACGGAAATTTCAACCATTCTCATTACCGTAATTCTAACAAAATCAAGGGAAACTTCCAGCATTCTGCGTCATGTAATTCCAAGAAAATCAAGAAAAGTTCCAGCATTCTGTGACATAATTCTAACAAAGGAAACTTATAGCATTCCGCGTCATATAATTCAAATAAAATCAGGAAAATTTTAAGCATTCTGCGTCATGTAATTCCAACAAAATCAGGAAAACTTACAGCATTGTGATATATAATTTTAAAAAATCGGGAAAACTTCCGCATTTATGACATAATAACAACAAAATCCGGAAAATTTCCATCATTTTGCGTCGTGTAATTCCAAGAAAATCCGGAAAACTTCCAGCATTCTGAGTCGTGTAATTCCAAGAAAATCAAGAAAACTTGCAGCATTCTGCGTCATGTAATTCCAATAAAATTAAGGAAATTTTAAGTATTCTGCAATATATAATTCCAACAAAATCAGGAAAACTTATAGCATTGTGACCTAAAATTCAAAAAAAAAAAATTGGGGAAAACTTCCAGCATTCTATGACATAATAATAACAAAATCCGGAAAACTCCCAGCATTCTGAGTGGTGTAATTCCAACAAAATCAGGAAAACTTCCAGCATTCTGCGACATGAATTCCAACAAAACAGCCAATATATCCTTTTAATCCTCAACTCAACACATAAGCACGATAACAGAGTTATCCTCAACAGCAGCTTCTGGGCACTTTTAAGTGAGCCAGTAGCCAAGATGACTTCGCTGCAAGTGGTCGCGTTCCTCGCCCTCCTGCTCGCGGTCCAGGCCTCTGTCAACCCACCAGGCAGCAATGAGACAGTCAGCTCCGCAGGGTTCGGCTCCAACATCATCAGCGGTCTGAACCGCTTGGTGAGCAAGATCACCGGGAGTGGCAACAATACAGCAACAGGTGCCACCGGAAGTGGCAACAATACGGCAACAGGTGCCACCGGAACTGGCAACAATACAGCAACTAGCAACACTAGAGTCGTCTGCCCTCCCCCGAGACCGCACCTTGAGGTAACTTCAATGTTCAGGCACTTTACAGCACACTCTCCCTTACCGTGTGACTTCCTCCCTCTCTTTCTTTCTATTTTTCTTGTTTCCTTCACACACATCTTCTGTCTTCCTTCCTCTCATCTTCCTCGTGACGTTGGGTTTTACACCGTGTGACTGTGGGCAATGTTGCCGACGTTTCAGAGGTACATGCTACCTCCATCCTCAGGGTCGAATTATGCAGATCACTTACTTTATATATAAAGCATTGTTTTGAAAAGGAAAAACCATTTGGTCCAGAAACTGACAGCTCCGTAATACAGCACAGTTAAAAAATACTTTATTGCTCGCTAAAACACTGAACATTACAATTTCTAGTATTGTTTCCTGTTCAAAATTCGAAGAGCTTCTTTTGCGCAGTACAGACGTTGCTTATGGCGTGCTTCTAACAAGTGTCACGATGACACATACTGAAATTACCGTATTAGCCAGAATATAGGTCGAGTTATTTTTCTTTTCTTTTTTTATAATACTGCTTAGAAAAGACGGGTCGCCTTGTCTTCGGGTCCGTAAGAATACGAAGACTATTATTTCTTAATAACTAACTCCACGGAACTGAACCCTTCTTGAGAAGCCGCTAGTTGCGCAGCTACTCAAGAATCTCCCTCAAGAGCCCTCCTCCGGCCCCTATCCTGAGCCAGATCAATCCAATTCATATCCTCATCCCAAGATCCGTCTTAATATTATCCTCCCATCTACGTCTAGGTCTTCCTAGTGGTCTCCTTCCTTCTGGCTCTCACACCGTAATCCTATATGCATTCCTCATATCCCCATTATTTCCTAATAGTTTTAATACTTTCCTAAAAAAAACTTTCTTATGATTTTCTCATTGTAAGAACGGAGTGACCATACATGCCTGCTTATACGTAGATATGGCCGTTTTCTATTAGGAAGCAACAATTTGAAGCAGTTCAACCCTGTCAGGAGTCCGAAGATACTTCAAAGACATCCTGTAATTCGACACTGCACAGCATCGGGATAGCTCAGTCGGTATAGCCACTGGCTAGTGGCTGGACGGCCGGGGGTTCCAAGTTCGAGTTCCGGTGGGGTCAGAAATGTTCTATTCTCCTCGTTGTCCAAGACCGGTTCCGGGGGCCCAACCAGCTTCCTATCCACTGGGTACCGAGGGGGTTCTTCCTTCGGGAGTAAAGAGGCCGGGGCGTGAAACTGACCACTCACCTCCAATTAGTACCGAAGTCAAGAATACGTGGTTCTACACATCCACTCCCCATGAACCTTCAAGGCGTGGTACTTAATTAGTTAAGCACAGGGACAACTTCACCTTTGACAGTGTGTTACTAGAAGCGTCGTTAAATAAACATCAGGAAATAAACAGTAGTGAGTTCTGTGATGTGAAGCCATTATATTTATTTCATCTTCGGGGGGTCAGGGGGTAAGGCCAAGCAAGTAAATAGCAAAAAGCTGCTTGTCTATAAACTACCAGACTATGGCGGCGTAGGCCCACTCTTCATTTTACTTGTGATGTTGTTGCTGGTAACTTGCTTCACCTTCACGTCGACCCTGACGTTGGGGGGACAGACACGTCCCTGACTACTGCTTGACCGGTTGTTTCCAGGGAGTGGGTGTTGGCCATAACCTGAGCATGGTCAACGTGGTCTCCAGGCTGGTCGCCGCTCTCAACCAGTCGCAACCTCCAGAGGACAACAGAGCCGTGTGCAGCATAGAGCGCCAGCCGTGAGTACCCCTTCCCTCATGTGGCTACACCTCACAAGTTCGTACAGCCTACTATCTGTCTAAACGTCGTATCTCGAGTAGGCAACCTTACGGAAGAGAGACCCCTGTATTGAAAGAGAGTTTGGTCCCCATTTGTGTCGAAAACAAAATACAGTAAGAAAGATTTGAGATTTTCACGTCCGTGACTCTAAAGAATGCCGCCTTCTGTGACGTGGCGCCGTGTAGAGGAACCTACGTGAGCAGCTGCAGGTGTCTGCAGCCACGTGCTGACGCTGGTTCCTCCTTCACGGATTTTTCTAACCTCAGGATGGAGGCGATACGTTCCTCTGAAACGTCGGTTTACACAAGATCTACACGGCGTCACATCACAGAAGGCAGCATTCTTCAAAATACAGTAACTTCTTAATGATGACGTAGAGATGACGACAATGTGCCCTTAAGGACGTGTAAGACACAAGATACATGCTGACATCAACTAAAACTGAAATTTGAAAACTTTCGAACAACATTATTGGTGCAGAGTTTCTCCATGATCAGTGGGCTGGTTCAAAGGTTATTAGGAGCCACAGAAATATGAAGAGACGGACTTCATACCAGTACACCTTCTGGCCTGGGTAAGCTTCCAAACTGACCTGCATGGAACTGTGAGGCGTTATCACGCTGCCAGCCCATTTCATTCTGGTGTGGACGCCATATATATTCATGGTGCTCATTTGCAACTCACGGACGCCATGCACCCTCAATGGAACCTGATAAAGCCTACCCAACTGTAGATATACACAGCGCCCACACAGTCACTTAGGCATTTTTCATACGTTACAGTATTTCGGACGATGCATTGTGACCATGCTTTTGTTAGTTCCAGTACGTTAGTTAGTTGAGGCACTGTGCTACTAGACGAAAGGTCACTGGATTTTTTCAGTTGACCTAATACTTCCAGCCGCACTCTGGCCCTGGGGTCTACTCAGCCTCCAACAGAAATGAGTTTCAGAAATCATCCTGGGGGTAAAGGACGGCCGGAGCGTAAGGTTGACAATCTCACAGCCATCTGTGCGCAGAAAATGAGGCAGCCTTGACGTCTGACAGCCATATGAGTCTCCACGGCCTGTTATAGGGATAGTTTTATTTAACCTCACCGCCATCTGTGAGTCGATTGTCTAGAAAATGTGGGAGCCTCGACGTCTCACAACAGGCCGTGGAGGCCCATAGGGTTGTGAGACGTCGAGGCTCCCACATTTTCTCTAGACAATCGGCTCACAGATGACGGTGAAGTTAAGTAAGGCTATCCCTGTAACAGGCCATGGAGGCCCATAGGGTTGAGAGACGTCGAGGCTCCCACATTTTGTAGACAATCACAGATGGCGGTGAGGTTGTCAGCCTTTCGCACCAGCCAACCTTTACCTCCAGGATGTTTTCTGGTACTCATTTCTTTTAGAAGCTGAGTCGACCCTAGGGCCACAGTGAAGCTGGAAGGATTAGATAAATTTAAAAATATAGTGACTTCATCGGGAATCGAACCCGCGACCTTGCGGCTTTTAGCAAAGTGTGAACCATTGAATTTAATCATGTTAAATTTGCGATGTTCTCTTGCTCCCTTAGGATTGCGAACACCGGGAGAAATGCAACCACGCCCCCAGCAACAAGTTCTGCAGGAAACTACAGCAACGAGGTGCGTTCACACACGTTATTATTTACGGGCGGGTTAAGGCACAGACCGAACATAATTAAATTTATCAAGGTTTCTTTCTCTTTGTCACCATAAAAGCTCTTCAGTCTGAGGTCTCATAAAATAGAGTAAAAGGTACAGATGTCCCTGTGCTTAATTAATTCGGCGTCACTCCATGAAGACGTATGGAGGAACAGAGGTATAGCTCCACCATTCTTGAACCTAGTACAAGACGAAGCTCACTGTTCAGCTTCACGATCCGGCCGCTTTACACCCGGTATCCATTGGATAGGAGGCTGGGTGTGCATATGAGCCGGTCTGGACGCTGTGCACTTGCACTGCCGGGAATTGAACCCCTGCCGTCTAGCAGATAGTCCGTCGTAACGACTGAGCTATCCCGGCTCCACAAGACGTGCCCAGCATTCCTGCTTGGTATTCGGATGCTTCCGGGTTCAGCTACTCTGACTGAGGTTTCTCGTGGTTTTCCTCAGTCTCTGTGAACAAACGCTGAGACAGTGCCTCAAGCAAGCTAGGCAACAACCACTTCCTTCCATATTCCTTCGAATTCATTACTTACTGCCATCCAATCATTCAACACTACACACGAGTTACTGACAGCATCGTTAAATAAATGATAAGAAATTCTGGGAAGAACTAATCAGAGTCCAGAGTTACTTTCCGACTGGCGGTGTACCGCCAATCAGTTGTCTTGGCGTCAGGCCCCTTGAGGACCACGACCAGAGATTTTCTTTTCTTTTTTTTCACCCAACTGAACTCTTGCGGTAATAGCCCTTATGTAACATCCTCACTTACGAGAAGATGGGTCTGTCTCTTATGAATACGCTTGGCCTTTCGTCACGTGTATACTTCGCACATATAACATGTTATTGAAAACTCTTCCTTTTTACACACAAGTCCTGTCAGTACAGGCTTTACAGAGCAGATCATGCCTAACTTACATATCTTATGCTACAACGAAAACTTAGTCATTTGAACGGTCATAAGCTTGACCACCGCCAAGTTTAAGCCTCTTATATTTTCTGTGTCTGGCTTCACCTTGCCCTATGCCGCGAACATGTTCATTCTAATGAATTTGTATGACTTCTGCTTGTTGCTTGCACAATTTCGTTATATCATCGTATACATACGGAAAGTTGAAAGCCGTGTGCAAGTCGCGGATTAGTGTGCACCTTGGAAAATTTCCAATGGCGCGCAAAACCTTGTTTTTCATGCGCTGCAGTTTTAAGCGGTGTCTGCCGCTAATTCCCAGGCGGGACACGCGTAAGTCATTACTGATCTGATCAGTGCCTTATAGAGGGTTAGTTAGATGTTTGCGCTTAAACTCTCACTTCTGAACTGGGAGCAGATTCTAATAAATGTTCTGAAGGCCTTGGCTTCAGTCATTTCTATGTGAAATCTCCACGTAATCCTCTTACCGAAGATTACACCCAGATAGTTTACATGATTGACAAAGGGGATGTTCTGTCCATTTAATTTAAGATGACCCTCAGGGGGCCTAAATCTATGAGAAAAGTAGATTGCTTGAGTATTATCTTCATTGATTTTCATGTTCCAGCGCTCACACCACGTCTCAATAACACTGAGACCTCGCTGCAGCTTTCTGAGAACATAACCCTCTTTGCGGTCTGTCGCATATATACAGGTGTCGTCAGCAAAGAGACCTAGATAGACACAGGTGTTTGGGGCGTATCGTTTATATATAGGCTGTACAGTGTGGGGGAGAGAACAGAACCTTGTGACACCCCTGCTTCTACATCCCTTGGTGTAGACATTTCACCTTCGACTGAAACTCTGAATTTTCCCTGAGAAAGGAAAGAGCTAATAAGCTTGATTAAACTTATCGAAAATTGTAATGTAGATCATTTATGTAGCAAGCCAGTGTGCCATGTTTTATTAAAGGCTTTTTCAATATCCAAGAATGCAGCAGCTGTAGACATGTTATTGTTGAAATTTAAGGTTACGTGGTCCGTAAGCCTCATACATTGAAGTGTCGTGCTATGACGGGCACGGAAACCAAACTGGCTTGCATTAATCAGTCCTTTTCGCCTACTTTTCTTTCACTATATACTGAATAACTGATACGACACGGACATAATAGAAAACATCGTATCCAACAGTTCTTCTATTGTTGCGTGTATTCGTTGCAACGGGAACGTGTTTACCGAGCCGTTGCGTAGCAACGGGGTTGGGAGGGCAGACAGATAGCAACCTCATCTAGTAAGCCTGATTTTATTTTTCCAAAATATGGAGAGCAGGCTAAAAATAAATAAATTTGAAACAAAATAATTTGACGTATTGAAAATGTGGTTAAATAAACAAGCAGAATAAGTATTTTTCTTTTGTTCTACCTGGATAGCGCAGTCGGTACAGAGATTGGCCGAGTAGTCGGAGTTCGAGTCCCGGTAGGGGCAAGATTTTTCTTCTCCCCACGTCGTCCAGACCAGCTCTGGGGCCCACCTAGCTTTCCATCCAATGGGTACCGGGGGTCAAGTGGCCGGGGCGTGAAGCTGACCACTCACCTTCAACTATTGCCGAGGTCAAGAACACGTGCATCTATACATCCAATCCCCATACGACTTCTTGGCGTAGTGCCTAAACACAGGGAGGGCCTGTTTGTACCTTTGCTTTATTCTGCAGGTTGGATTCCGGACAGAAATATTCTGTTGTCGAGGTTACGTAAAGGATGCACTCGGCAGGTGTGTGGCCCAGTGTGACGGGGGCTGTGCTAACGGCGTCTGTACCAGCCCCAACAACTGCACCTGCTACCCGGGTTATACGCTGGACAGAAGTGGCAACTGTGTGCTCCAGTGCCCCTGTGGGTGCTTGAACGGCGCCTGCGCAGGTTGGCTACTGTCTTCTCCCCCCCCCCCAAGTCAATGCCATCGTCTTGTCACAGTTCCCCCTCACCCTCCTAATATTCACTGAATACCCGCTTCTCATACGACGGGAGTCCGTAAATAGGTCACAAATGGAAATAAAACAGCTGTAATGGACGTAATATGTTTTCTATGTGTATCACTAGATAGCAGCACATTCCAGCTTCATGGCGGTCTAGGTAGTAGACGCGCATGCTCGTGTTCAGAGGCTAGTTTCAGTAGTCAAAATGGCGACCGTGCTTGAGGAATGTAGTACTGAAGAGCAACGTCTTGTGCGTTTATTCCAGCCTTTTTTTTTTTTGCGGACAAAAGGAATCAATGCAGAGGATATTCATAAAGAAATGCTTCCTACTTACGGTGTTTGTCGCATAAAGCGGTTCACACCTGGGTGGCAGACGTTTAGCTGATGCGGAAGTGGCTGAGACAACACTCAAAAGACTTCTGTGTTGCGGGTTTGGATGCACTGGTAAAGCGATGGGACAGGTATCAATGTTGCTGGAGGATACGTCAAGAAATAAATGTTCTTCCAGGTTCGAATATCACTTGTTTTGCGTTTTATAGCCATTTGTTACTTATTTAATGACTCTCCTATATAATTTGAGTTTACATGTCTATCTTCCCATGCGACATCATGTGGGTTTTGTGGTGGACAAAGTGGCACTGGGGCTGGTTCTGTAAGAATACTCATACTTTGGTGTCCGCTGCCAATTCTCATTCCACTAACTCCTCCGCATAATTTTTTACATCAGATGCATAGTCTCGATACTGACAGTGTCAATAAACAGCCAAATTAAAAAATATATATAGTATGTTCCTCATCTTTCCTTCTTAAGGCATCCTTTATTCTGTTTTTTTTTTTTTTTTTGCCCCCACATCTAGCACAAGTCACCTACAAACAGTGAATGTCCATTAAAGATTCTAAAGGAAAATATGTATGTTAGTTCCCACAGATAACCCTTCCTCTGATGCACTCTTGCATGTTACAACCCCCTGAGGGCCACTTCAGAATCACGGTTTCACTGGATATGCATGCTAGGACCTTGAATTTTTCTGGGGGAAAGACATAACTGACAGTTTCATAGACTAAGCATAATAATATTACCCGAGAGCTCTTTTTTTTGGGGGGGGGGGCAGTGGTCAGCACTGTAATTGTGACTGATGACACTCTTGATACTGATTCATGATGCTATATCAAAAACCTCAGTTGTTTCTGCCACATTCTAGTCCTATCATAAGAAACTGAAGTTAGATTTTAACATTCAGTAAACCCTTATTAAACCTGTTACAATTAATCAGGACTGAAATGTGTAAAATGAAAAATGCTGTTCACTGTTGAATACATACTTAAAAAGACACTTGGGATTTAGGAGCAAGAGGACTTTCAGACTGTGTTGAGGGCAGCTGGAGAGACTGAAACCCAAGGTTGGCTTCAGCTGGATGGAGACCCTGGGTTTCAGCCACTTGTCTTTTTATAGTTTTAAAATAAAGGCTCTATAGTGATTTTTTATTTATTTTCATCAGCACTACCATCTGTTTGTTTTCTTTTTTTGGTATCTTTTAGGGCTATGCTTCATTAATCCTGATTATCACTTAATCCAGATTACCTCCCCCATAATTAATCTTGATTAGTGTTTCCTCTAGTTACCAAATGGGAATGACATACCAAAAGCTGATAAACAATCCACTGATTAAATTAATTAAGTCTATATAAATATCAATGTTCAAACAGCATAGCTACCCATGGCTCTACAGCCCTTTGTTGGACCTTGGCCGCTTTTTTAGTTTCTTCATCATTTACACAGTCGGTAGGACTCCTTGGACAGGGGATCAGCCCGTCACTAGGCTGCTACCTGCACACAAGAGAGCACAAGCAGAGAATAAACGCACACAGACATCCATGCCTCAAATGGGATTCGAACTTAGGATCCCAGTGTTTCAGCTGGCAAAGAGAGTTCATGCCTTAGATTGTGTGGCCACTACGGTCGGCTCAAACAGCATATAGTAATCCGTTATCAATACTAAGTCTATGCAACTTGTCTTATTATTGATTATTGCAACCCCGGAAAAAACACTATGAACAGTGATTACCGAAAACAGCTTCAGTGTTATGTCATAATACCTAAACTGTCTCGATGTTTTAATGACAGCAAACAACTCCTGCATATGCAACGCCGGCTTCTTGCGAGATGGAAGGATCTGCGTACCAGTGTGTGAGGGTGGCTGTATGAATGGGAACTGTACGGCACCCAACAGCTGCACCTGCAACACTGGATACATCCAGGACCTCAATGGCAGGTACAAGTCACACATCCATATGAACCATGTTCAGAACTCACATGCTGATGTGTGTGTAGTCATAACACATTCTGCATTCACAAATGTTCTGATCCCTTTTAAGGCTCCAGAGAACTAACAACTATGAACACAGAAGCCACAATTTCCACATGCAGTGACCATATATCTGGTCTGGTATAGGAGCACATTAAAATTATCTCATTACCAGTCATACCCCATTTCAGGAGCTTAATGTTTTTTTTTTTAATTCGCTTAGTAGGGTGTAGAGTCCAACTGGGTCCACTCGGCATGGCGGCCATTGATTGGCCTACTGTAGCCTGCCCCGGGTGATTATGATGGAGAATTTGGTGGAATGAAGATTGGCAGGAAAACCGAAGTATTTGGAGAAAACCTGCCCCAACGCCACTTTGTCTACCACAAATCCCACTTGACCAGAACTTGGATCGAACCCAGGCCGTCGCAGTGGAAGCCAGCAACTAACCACCTGAGCTATAGCGCTGCCTAGCTGAATGATTTGATATTACATATCTTGTGAAAGAAGTGTCTCTTAAATAGGAAACATCACATGAGCAGGATGCAAGGCTAACAGACTGCCTGGACTTAGCATGCTTAAGTAACAAGCAAGGTCAGGGAAATTTCGGAAGACACACAGATGGCGTAAGGCCAGTCTTAAAACTTCTGAACATCATAACAGGCTCGTAGTACTCTGTCTCTGGGTTGGAGGATGATGACCAAGAAGATTCTGACATTACCCTAACTTCCCTCATTGAACTTCAGTGTGAAAGGCTGAAGTTCTCACATTTCTGTTCCAACAGAGATCAAGTCAACATTTTGGTTTCAAAATTTGCATCGTTATGTAAAAGTCCAAGTATACATGTATGTATTATGGGTTGAGTGTTCGTTTATGTCAGCCGTGTCAGCCCTGCTAACACTTTGAGAAACAGGGAGAGTCACTTTCATGGTTCAGCGGCCACATCGTAGCATAGTTGGTTGAAGCACTATGCTACCAGCTGGAAGGTCATGGGTTCCATTCCCAATGAGATCTCTGGATTTTTAAATTGACCTAATTCTTCCAGCGACATTACAGCCCTGGGGTCAACTATGCCTCTAGTAGAAATGAGTACTACAAATCTTCTGGGGGGTAAAGGGTGGCCAGCATGTAAGGCTGACATCTTGAGCGCCATCTGTGAGCCAACTGTCTAGAAACTGTGTGAGCCTTGACGTCCTCCAATCCTATGGGCTTCCACGGCCTCTTATAGGGATAGCTTTACCTTTTTTACCTTCATGGTTGAGAGCTACTCCATTACTGTGAGGAGAAATGATCAGTGGGCGAGCTCCTTTAGGCTTACACTATCCATTTGTGAGGGTAGCAGTAGTAAGAGGGGACATGACATAGAACTGGCTTGAGGAGAGGAGGCAGTATATGACATTCCAAGCTATCATCTTAGCCAAATGATGAATGTTAACATACCTCAACTGCTTGTATGCTACCAGAACATTAAGCATCAAAAAGCAAACTAACTAACTTCAAGGGGTTGAGCCCTTCTTGTGAAGCTGCCAGTTGTGCAGCTACTCAAGAACTTTCCAACATTTCATGGCACCTGAAGGCTCATTACTGTGATCACAAGAGCCCTCCATTGGTCCCTAAACATTTTCTCTTCTCCACGTCATCCACGCCGGATTTGGGGCCCACCCAGCCTCTGTTCCAGTGGGTACAAGGGGCTTTTTCCCTGGAGCGTAAAGAGGCCAGTGTGTGAAGCTGACCACTCACCTCCAACTAGTGCCAAGGTCACATCCACTCCTCCATATGCCTTCACAGCATAGTGCTTAATTAGTTGAGCAAAGGGACAACTTTACATTGAACAGCAAACACTTCTGAAAAAGTCACACTCCACTGCTGGTCTGCCCATGTGTATTTGTATGTACATATTTCAGTGCATTTATGGATTTGTTTGTTTGCGAATATGTACATATGGCTGTATGCATGAATATTTGTGTACTGACTTTCAAAAAGCATTCCACTCAGATTATGATATTCTGGGATGTGATGCCAGTCTTGTCTGGTAGATAGGTACTTCCTGCTTCCAACATTACCCTGAGGATGGAAGCAGCAGGTCACACCAAAACTTCTGTATCTGTCTACCACACTACATGACATCACATCCCACAGCTGTGAGAACCTCAAACCTCATACACTGTAACATTTTGCTGGCCACTGCTACTGTCAGGTTGAGTTTGCAAGTATGTCTGTGACTAGGAGGAGTGACTGACATTACAGTTGTATTCCGGCTTGTTCGGGGGGCTGTCTGAATGGAGACTGCACGGCTCCCAACAAATGTACTTGTCATCGAGGTTACAGGAAGAACACACACTCCAACATCTGTGTACCTCGATGTCCACAGGGCTGTATCCATGGCGACTGCACAGCACCAAACGTCTGCACTTGTCATACAGGTCTGTCACTCATCTCTTGCCTTATTGGCTAAGTACTGTTTTGCTCCAAGGATAGTTACTGTTGGATGACAGGATGATTGTGTTTCAGAAATGAGGGCTTACTTGAAGCTACTGTCCCGGCTTTTATCTGAAGTAACAGGAGACTAGCTTCAGAGAGCTGACCATGGAATTCTAATCAACAACTAATACACTTTAAGCATCGACCTCGTAGCAAAACAGTACGTTTCAAACTAATCACATATCATTTTATACACTTACTTGCTTTATGTGTTCTTTTCAATCCTTGTCACAAGAACCCTTCATTTCACTTCACTGCTACGTTTCATTGTGGTAACAATTAATTACTAATTTCTTCACTTCACATACCACCACTACTTGAAAACATGCAGTTGAGTAATCCTAGGTGTAAGTTAATATTCATGCAGCTATTGTTGAATTTATGTTAAATCTTCAGAACACACACACTCATTTATGATACGGCATATATCACAACACGCTCTGAGTGCACTGATATTCAGGGTTTCCATAATACCGAGACAAAAGAAAGGCATACAGCTTACTCAGGAATATAAATATTATGTTTTTGGAAATTATCCATCGTCCTGTCTTTATATAAAAACACAGTCCTGTTTATTGGGCTCAACTGAGTAGCTTTTACCTGAAGACGGAGACAGAATTCAGTCTCCGAAACGTTGTGTTTTGAAAAATAAACAGGATGGTGTGTTTAGATAAAGACAGAAAGATGTATAATGTCCAGAAACATAATATTTGTACTAATGTACCGTCATCACAAACTTTTAGATCTTATTTACTCAGGAATATTAATGTCAGTGCCGCAGTAAAATTAATATAATTTTTAGAGTCTTTAAACTAAAAAGAGAAGTATGCATTCAAATATAACTCTTCACAACATGGACTTATTTTCTTCAACAATGTATATAAAAATATCTGTATACATAATTGATTGCCAATCACGGTGGCAACGCAGTCTAAGGCATGAACTGCATTCACTCACACGAATGCTGTAATCATAGGTTTGAATTCCACTTGAGGCATGGATGCCTGTTAGTGCATTTATTTTGTGATTGTGTTGGTTGTCCTGTGTGTAGGCAGCAGCCCTGCGATGGGCTGATTACTCATCCAAGGAGTCCTACAGTCTGTACAAAAGATTATGGAACTGAAGATGAGGCCAGGGCCCAATAAAGGGCTGTAGAGACATTGATGGATGGATGGATGGATGGATGGATGAATGAATGACTGAATTAATATTTAATTGATTACACTGCATGAAACTCTGTTACATTAGAAATTCAAATGCTGAATCCAAGAAAGAGAATCTTAAAATAGCAAGACTACTGAGACAACATTTATTGTAAGAACCTTGGCACATGAACAGTAGCTGCATATCAGTGTACATGTAGAGCACTGCCACAGTATAAAAGTAACACTAGCTGGAATAACCCGACTTACTGAAACACTTACTAATACATATATCTCTTTCCTTACTCAGGTTATGCAAAGAATTCCACAACGAAGAAATGTTCACCGACTTGCAATACACCTTGCATCAACGCTGACTGTACGTCACCTAACGTCTGCACTTGCCGTGTGGGATACCGCATGGCACCACATGGTAGTAACACAACATGCGTTCCTGTGTGCAAAGGTGGATGCCCCAATGGGCAATGTACTGCTCCCAGTGTCTGTACATGCAACGCTGGTTACACCAGAGACCCTAACAACAGAACTGGAAACACCTGCATTCCTACATGTGCCGGAGGTTGCGTCAATGGTGACTGCACTGCCCCTAACATCTGTACCTGCCACCATGGGTATGCTAAACTTCCCGAAAGTAACAGATGTGCCCCACATTGTCCTACAGGTTGCATAAATGGGACCTGCTCAGCACCAAACAAATGTACCTGTATCGAAGGTTATGCCAGTGTGGCTAATTCTAACAATGTATGTGCACCTACTTGTGCAGATATGTGTATAAATGGTGACTGCACGTCACCGAACGCATGCACATGCAAATCGGGGTATGAGAAAGATGTTACAGATGTGAAGGGCAACAGGTGCAAACCAAAATGCGAAAACAGATGTATTAATGCCATCTGCACGAATCCAAACATGTGTATATGCATAGCAGGATATGTTAAGGACAGAACAGTCACGACAAACAACATCTGTGTACGACGAATAAGACGATCAAGCCCCACCTTTCAGAAATGGCTCGACAGTCAGAACTGAAGACACATGGAAGAAATATTACCATCATTATGATGTAATGCTGAATACTGGCCACATCAGATGAATGTCACACAACAGAGTATATTTTTAACAGATACATTGTATTAACATGGCTGGCTCAGTCATAGATTTCTAGTTATATGAATCTGTTTCACCAAGCGATTAACGTGAAATAAAATGTTCTTCAAAATGCGATTACTGGTAACCTGGAAATGTTTGTTTGTACATAACAGTGAACCTGATCTTAAACTTTGGAATTTCGTTAAATATTTAATCTTAATTTAAAACAATTTTCTAATCAATACTTCATGTTTACTACACCAGAATTTTCCAAAGTTGAATTTACGCCTCCCTCCTGGTTGGGGGAGTTATGGAGATATTTGCAGAGGCTAAGTACTGTACGTATAATAAAAATAAATTCATAAGTGAGAATGCATTACATTACAAATATACAGCTTAACACACAAGACATTTCATGAATATTATTACAATTAATTAATAATTCTTTTCAATTGCTAAATCTTATACTAAGTAATTTTTATATACTGTGTGGGAGGTCACCTTGTTCGCATCAAGGGAGCCACAGGCTACAGCATATTTTGTTACTGTTTTTGCCTAGTGAGGGGTGGAGTCCAACTGGGTCCACTTGGCACAGTGGCCACTGATTAGCCTATTGTGATTATGATGATGGAGAATTTGGTGGAATGAAGATTGGCAGGGGAAACCGAAGTACTTGGAGAAAACCCGCCCCAGCACCACTTTGTCCAACACAAATCCAACTTGACCAGACCTGGGATCGAACCGGGCCGCCACGGTGGGAAACCAGCAACTAACCGCTTGAGCTATAGTGTGGCCATTTTGTTACTATAGTACCAGGAATCTTCCTGGGGGTAAAGGGCAATCATGGCATGTAAGTGTGACAACCTCACCATCATCTGTGAGCCGAGCATCTAGAAAATGTGGGAGCCTCGGCATCTCACAACCCTATGGGACTCCACAGACTGTTACAGGGACAGCTTTACCGTTTTCTGTTTCCCCATGTTTTAGACCATGTTAATGTCAACAAACCACCATTCCCTCCATAATCTGATAGCTGACCTACTCAACATGCTTCAAATTCAACACTAAGCAAACCCTCTCCCAGAGTTATACATTAAGTTCAACAGAACAGCAGCAGCCCTGTACAGTGGGGCAGTCAGACTTGTCACCATGCTGCCTCTTCAGTACAACATCATGAACTTTTAGTACAGCTCAATGGCCTTTGCTTGCTGGAGAACGGTGCGAACGAACAACAAACCTTTCCCACAACAGAGAAAATTACCTGAAGCTGCATTACCAGTCTCAGGATACTGCATTAAATTTCTCAGAGACTTCAAAGCCTATACATATTATTTATTTCATTCAAGGCACCAAACATAAATCATAAAAACCTCACAGAAACTAGATCTGAGCAGGGTATTTGTATTAAGAGAGCCATAACTGGAGATGTCAGCTAGTTGTTCATCAATTAGTACAACATTTCTTTCAATAGAGGGCATCAAATGTGGCATAGCAATGTCCTGAGGGACCCATACCTGCTGTAATTTGATGTGCAACAGCATTTATCTGCTGCAAGCAACAACCTTGATTTCTAGCACAGACATATGGTGAGGCTTGGAACTCAAATGGTGAACACATTACCAAAGAAATTTCTCTTAAATATTTCAGTGCAGTTTGTCCAACGGTGTCCCTACTCCAATAAATCGGTGTAACAGTATTTCAGTTTATGCATTCACATCAGAGACATTTATTGTAAAACTAACTCAATTAAAACCAGGATTAAATCAAATTCATTTCAACAGATGATTCTTATTGACATCACATGCCATTATAAGCCTGCGATCTGTTCATCCCTCAGAAAAAAACTAAGGAACCGTAAGCCTCAACAGGTGTTCCGTACAAGTTAAGAAAATTAAAGTTACTGATGGGAAGAGATTTTTTTCTTAAAAAAATAAAGCCAAACCTGTCATTAACTTTATGCTGCTAAACCTGTAATGTTACAGAAATCTGCAAAATAGCATCCTTGCCATATCGTTACAGGTCTGACATTTAGCTTTCTGATTGTGCTGCAAACATGCTATATATATAAACATTCATCAGTCATGAAAATTATGAACACTATGTTTCACCTCTCTACTATCCCTGTATTCCATCTGTAGAAGAATTTAAAAAATGCTATATCTAGCACTGAGGATTCATACACTACAAACTACTTATCCTTGGTCATCACAGGGGGAGTACAACTGGCATCCACACATACTTCCAATTCATCTGCATGTTGAATGAATGAATGTATAAGGAGTGGGCCTTCTTGGGCCTTGCACCGCAATCACAGTGATCTGTTGTGCATCCCCTTCTGATTATCCCCTCAGCAATACTTGCGCTTCGAATGAAGCACAGGATTTTGTACGTGGGGACATTGAAATAGTCACTTGGTTCCATAAAATACTGACCGAAGTTACATGATCTTAAATAAGCTAAGGCCTCAAATTCACACAGGATATGTGTGGCTGTTTCATTTTCTTCTTGACACCTCTCACAAGTGGGATTATCACTCAGTCCCAGTTTGAAGAGGTGTCCTTTAAGATGACAGTGTCCTGTAAGTAGTCCTACCACCCATCGTAGCTGGTTCCTGTTTAACTTCAACAGTTCTTTCGCTCTTTTAGTAGAGGGTCCTCGTATGAGTCCCTTTGGTTGTCTGAATCCAGTCAAGGATATCTGCATGCTAGAAGCATTCACTCAATTTCTTCTCGATTTCTTTTGATTTCCATCCCCCCCCCCTAATTCTAAGTGGATTTAAGAAAAATCACAAAAATAAGTGAGTTTTGTCCATATCACTGCAAACTATTTACTCAGCAGTCAATGCATTAATACCGCTTCAAAAATAAGTGTCTACACATGACACCACATGCACTATTAAAACATTTTAACATCTATTACTTAACTAAGCCTGCTCCACATAATATCACACTACAAAAGATGAATGAACCAGTAATTATTTCTGCTCTTTAGGTAGTTCACTCTTCTTGTTCGGATCCTGTCTCACAAGACACAGTTACCTAGAAGCAGCTACCTCACCATCACAGGACCTGACACGTGCTACCTGTAGCTAAAGACCATGTGACAAATGCACAGTTCTGACAGATATTTCTTCAGTTCCTACAATGATGTGATGCATACAACAGAGCGAAAGAGTATTTTTTATAAGAGACAGGATATGAATTATACTGAGGTCACAGAAAGAAGTCCCATGAGTGGCAGGGTTTCCCTTTGCTGCCTACTGTTGTATTTCCCTCCCACCCACTTAGGTCTACGTCAATCAGGCAGAATATAAGCAACAACCAGGTTTTGGTTTATGATAAGAGGCATCAAGAATGGAGTCTCTAACTTCCTGCAGTAATGCACACTCTATTACAACAACAATCCAAGACATTACCACATTTTAAAACATCTGAAAATGCTTGCTTCAGCTTCAAGAAACTTCATGATGAATATGTAAAAAGTTGTCTCATATAAATTGAATAAAATGATAAACTTTGGGAAAGGAACCACTGAGTAATCTGGGGCATTAGCAGAAATACTCAAAGGTGGAATGATATGCATTTCCCATAACATACATAGCTTTCTTACTTTTGAAGAGGAATCTGAGATGACAGATGCCTGGGAGACTTACAGATGATGTGTTCACACTCTGTCCAGCACTGGCCAGTTCACAGCTTTTCCAAATCGCAGTGATGTCTCCGACTGTCCACAAACACCTGCAAAACAACCAGCACCAGTCAACTCTCCAAGAGCTACATCTTGATCTGTTACATCAGCCAATCGTGCAACAACTGTTTTCTGTCAACGAGTTTCATTTTTATTAAGACAGTTTCAGTTCATGTCTACATGCCACATGGCTTCCTCAAATGTGTTCAGATTACAACAAACAAATTTTAACCCTTTACCTGCTACAGCTGGAAAACAAATGCAGCTTTCATCCAGCTATATCTGGTGTGGAAAGCAAAAGAAATACTTGTATCAACAAAAATGAGAATGAAGAAATTTTCAAGTAATGTAAAATCTGTACTGCTGTATGGGTGCAAAACATGGGAAGTAACAAAGAAAATTACAAACACTCTGCAGGTATTTATCAATAACTGTTTAAGAACAACCCTCGCATCTTTTGGGCAATGGCTGTTACAAATGGATACCTATTGAAACTAGCAAAGGAAGAAACAGTAGTCACAGCAATAAAAAGAAGGAAATGGATAAGACACACTATATGTAAAGATCAGAGTGTAATAGAGACGCAAGCCTGGACAAGAATCCCCAAAGGCAAGCCAAGAACAACCTGGTGGAGAAGTGTTGAAGAAGAGGCCCAAAAAGCAGGATAGGTCTGGAGAGTGGTCAAGAGCGTGGCTGGGAACAGAGTCCGTTGGAGATGCTTCATGGAAGCCCTGTGCTCCAAAATGGAGTAAAAGGATTGATTGATTGATCGATTGATCGATTGTTGATTGATTGATTGACTGATTGATTGATTGACCTGCTACAGGCATGCGAGTTTTTTGATAAGTCAGTTTAGGTCAAGTTAAGTCAGCTGAAGTTAGGTTCAGTTAGGTTAGGCTCATTTAACTTATATTAAGTTAGCTTGTACTCATACATATGTACATATATGCCTTCTGACATTTCCATATTCTAAGTTGGCTAAAAAGATCAGCACGCAGATGGTTAAAGTATTCTAGATATGGTAAAATTTAACAGATGATGGGGAAAAATATTCCTGATAAACTGTGAGATGCTCATCTTCGACCGCATGAAGTGGCATTAATTTGAGCGATTAAAAATGTCATCTACATAAACTACAAAATACCAAAAATCAGTGTACAGTTAACTATCGATTTTCTGTGTTAATGAATGGGAGAAGTACCATGGATTAAAATAAAAATGGATAATCCAGACATCTGGAAATACCCACATTCTACACTGCATTCAACCCTAAAAATCATTTACTATTCATTGCTCCTGCTGCTGATCAGTGACAGAGAGACAAATACCTTTCCAATAGCAGAAATCAACCCTCACTGAATGACAGTATGCCACAAAATGCAGAGAAATAATAAAACAAAGTTTTAACAAAGTGAGAAGATGTACATTCTACTAAAAATCGCAGTAAAGCACCATTAATATATATTAATGAAACAACTGTAATGGCCAAAGCTTCATTTGTTGCAGAAAACAATAATCAGTAACTGGGGGCTCTTAAAAAGTCCCATAGTTAATCTACAAACCAAATAACTCACACATATATAATTAAGAGAATGCTGTGGAAAATATTTATAATTTCATGGTCTCTTCCATACTCTCAGATTTTCAACAGTGCATTCTTTAAAACTTCAATAAATAGACAATAA